AGCCCGTGGTGGCACCTGAGCAAGAGCAGAGCCTTGGCAGCGTCCCTTTGGCACCTCTTATGTAAGTGTTGCACAACGAGGGGCCGGGGATATGAAAAGCAACTCTTAAGAGCCGCCTGGGTAAGTGGGACAGTCGAATCAAGGTAAATTATGAAACGGCTCCTGCCACTGCTACACATGAGGGACTTAATTCCAGGTTTTCTCCTCATTCTGGGGCCTTCCCAGGGCTGTATCTCCCGTCGCACCGATCGGGAACCGCCTGCTCCGCTCTGTCTCTCCGTGGTATTTTCTCTTTTTGCCTTGATTTAGCGTCATTTTTCCTCAAGATTCCTTCCATTCCGTGCCCATTCAGCACATCTGCTGTGGAATCAGCTCTTCGTGATCTGGCATCTCGGGCAGCAAGAACGGGAAGATGCTTCCTGGGAAGCATCTGGGAAAATAAAGGGAGGATGAATCGGTGGAGCAGAGGGATGGATGAAAATGAACAAATGCTGAGTCACCCTCGGGAAACAAAATCATCTGCAAACCCCCCAACTTGGGATTGTAGGCAATAATGCAGGAAAAGGCCTTGGGAGTTCATGGAGACAATCTCCCCCAGAACAGCACAGGATCAAACCTCTCAGCTCCTCTTTCATTTGGACACCTCGTGCCATAATGGCAAGAGAAAAGGAGAAAATGCCAGTAAATGGGGCAGTACAAGCTCGACCTTAGCAGCAATTCTCAAAGGGAATGAGGAAAACAGGACCTGAGCCCATCTTAGTTTAATTAGACTTTCAAATTAACAGATTTCCTTTTCCATCCTCCTTTTCCCCCCCCCCTCCATTTCCCAGCTGCTTTTCTTCTCATCTCCTCTTTCAACCCATCTGAACCCCTCTGAGTGCCCAGCAGAAGAAATATCCCCTCAGAACACCAATTGCTTCTATGCTACACTGAAGCAGCAACAGGCATGTGCAATTTTGGGGATTATTTATAAAAATTCTAATGGAGCTTCTGCAGAGCTGAGCTCCTCGTGGTCACAGTGCCCAGCAGGATCCAGCTCCCTGCCACGTGAGCCAGCACTTCAGCAAGCCAAAATGAGCCAAAATGAGCCAAAATTATGTGTTTCGTCCTGATGCTGTAAACACAGGGAAGAAGCCAACCGGGAAGGCAGTCACAGAGTATTGGAGAAGGCACTTAGGAATTAGGTATCAGCATATCAATGGGAGCACAACAACACATGGCTTTGGCAGGGATCAGCTGCCTGGAACAGCAAATTGGTTCGTTTTTGAATGTTTTCCCTGCTGTCAAAGATGAAGAGCGGATCCTGCCGGCTCCTGTGATTCCAGCAAAGCTGGATGGCCCCCGGCTTTCCCCGACCGCTGCAGGCCAGAGTCCAGAAATGGGAAGCGTTCTCCCAAAATCTGCTCTTGCAGATACAGTCTGGGGCTCAGTTCCCTCTGGTGACCACCACATTTCCAGTTTAATGGGTTGTTCCTTGAGCACTGTGCTGTGCATCATCCAAAGAGCAGCACTGGGATGTGGCTTCAGAGAGAGGTTGACTCCAGCAGCTTGTTGGAATCACAAGTGTGGGCAAACACTGGGTGAGGATGAGCGTGGTCCACATGGAGAGGGTGGGAATGAGCAAACTCCCTGTGGCTGGCACTGCCCAGAAAGCCAAACACACCCTGGGCTACATCCCCAGCGGTGTAGGAGGGGATTATTCCCCTCTACTCTGCTCTTGTGAGAGAACCCACCTGGAGTTGTGTGTCCAGCTCTGGGGCTCCCAACATAATGAGGATGTGGAGCTGCTGGAGCGAGTCCAGAGGAGGCCACAGAAAGGCTCTGAGGGCCGGAGCCCCTCTGCTCTGGAGCCAGGTTGGGAGAGCTCGGGGTGCTCACCTGGAGAAGAGAAGGCACTGGGGAGACTTTAGAGCCGCTTCCAGTGCCTAAAGGGGCTCCAGGAGAGCTGGAGAAGGACTGGGGACAAGGGCCTGGAGTGCCAAGATGAGGGGGAATGGCTTTCCACTGCCAGAGGGCAGGGTTAGGTGGGATATTGGGAAGGAATTCCTGGCTGAGAGGGTGGGGAGGCCCTGGCCCAGGTTGCCCAGAGAAGCTGTGGCTGCCCCACCCCTGGAAGTGTATCCCAGGCCAGGCTGGGAGGGGTTTGAAGCAACCTGGTCTAGTGGGCACCCCCATGATCCCAGTGCCCTGGCAGGGTGTGGGAGCATCCTGTCTGTGCTGGGTCCCCCATCCACGGACCCCTGTGGGTGAGTGCCCAGTACCCCAAACAAGCCTGGTTCCCCAGACAGGGATGCCTCCAGCATCTGGGTGCCCATGGGGGTGTCCAGTCTCCCCCAGGTGTGGATGCCTCCAGGTGTGGATGCTCCCCATGATCCCAGTGCCCTGGCAGGGGTGACCTGGATGTGGGAGCATCCTGTCTGTGCTGGGTCCCCCAGCCATGGAGTCCTATGGATGGGTGGGTGGGTGGGTGCCTGGTGCCCAGATGAGCCAGGTGCCCCAGACAGGGATGTCTCCAGGATGTGGGTTCCCATTAGCATGCTCACTACCCCTCAGGTGTGGATGCCTCACATGTGGGTGCCCCCATGATCCCAGTGCCCAGGCAGGGTGTGGGAGCATCCTGTCTGTGCTGGGTCCCCCATCCACGGACCCCCGTGGGTGAGTGCCCAGTACCCCAAACAAGCCTGGTTCCCCGGAGAGGGATGCCTTCAACATCTGGGGTGTCCAGTCTCCCCCAGGTGTGGATGCCTCCAGGTGTGGATGCTCCCCATGATCCCAGTGCCCTGGCAGGGGTGACCTGGATGTGGGTGCATCCTGTCTGTGCTGAGCCCCCCCATCCATCTCCCCCGTGAGTGGGTGCCCACGGGGGTGCCCAGTCCTCCCTGAGGTGTGGACGCCTCACATGTATGTGTCCCCATAATCCCAGTGCCCTGCCAGGGGTGACCTGAATGTGGGACCATCCTGTCTGTGCTGAGTTCCCCCATCCACGGCCCCCTATGGATGGGCACCCTTCAGAGTGCCCAGTGCCCCCAAGGTGTCGATGCCCCCCGGGTGTGAATGACCCCGCGATCCCAGTGCCCTGCTGCCAGGAGTGACCTGGATTTGGGACCCTCCTGGATTTGGGACCCTCCCGTCCGTGCCGGACCCCCCCATCCATCCCCCCCGCCGCGGGTGGGTGGGTGCCCGGGGGGTGCCGCGGGGACCCCGCTGTGTGTGTGTGTGTGTGTGTCTGTGTGTGTGTGTGTTGTGCCCCCCGGAGCGCGTTGCCCGCCGCTGCCCGGGGGCCGTGCCGGGCCGTGCGGCGGGCGGGGATGGTGCGGCTCCCGCCGGCTCCCCCGCCCGCCCCGCGCCGCCGCCGCCGCCGCCGCCGCAGCCCCGCCAGACGCAGCGCGGCTCGGAGCGCGCACGGAGCCTCCTCCCGCAGCCGCCGCCATGGCCCGGAACCGCCGGGACAGGAGCAGCTGGGGTAGGAGGCGATGGCTCGGCGGGGGCAGCGCGGACAATGCCGGGCCTGCGGCGGCCGCGGCCCGCGCCGGGGCGGGGCTGCGGGGGCACCGCGCGGGGCGGGGGGCTCGGCCGGCCCGGGGCGGGATCCCTCTGAGGGGGCACTCGGGGATCTGGGAGTAACCTCACGGCATCCCTGCGCGGCCGGGGGTCCGCCCGTCCCGCCCGGCCGGCGGGGCTGGGATGGGGGTGCGGGATGAGGGTGCCCCGCGTTCCGGGGCCTCGCTGGGGCGCGGGCCGGGCGGGGTGTCCCCGGCTCGGGCTTGTCACGGCTCCGCGCCCTGCCCGGGGCCTGACACCCCCCGGCAGTTCCCCAGGGAGCCCCGCGGCTGCCCCGGCTCCCCTCAGCCTGCCCGGACACCCCTCGCCCGGTCCCTGGTGACCCCTCGGTCCCGGAGGGGAGATGTCACCTCAGCCACCACCCCACGTCACCCGGGAGCAGGAATCCCCCTTACTCCCAGCCCACCTCGTCCAGGAGCCGGGATCCTGCTCACCCCACCCCATCTCACCCAGGAACAGGGAATCCCGCTCACCCCCATCCTGCCCCATCCAAGGGGCAGGATTTCCCTCACCTCCAACCCATCTCATCCAGGTGTCCCACTCACCCTCGCTCCACCTCATCCAGGGGCAGGATTCCCCTCACCCCCACCCCACCTCGTCCAGGAAAAGGGAATCCCGCTCGCTCCCATCCCACCTCATCCAGGGGCAGGAATCCTGCTCACCCCACTTTCCTCAGTCAGAGCCACCGGCCTTCCCCGGCAGCTCACACCTCCGGAGGGTTTTTCCCATTTCTGGGAGCTGTAGGGCTTTGTTGTCGTGTCACACCTTCCAGAGAGGGGCCATTTTAAACCCATCCCCTCACAGCCCTCCCTGAGGCCGGGGGATTCGGGGGCAGCATTGCCGGGGAGCCGAGCAGGGTGACGGGGGAGGAGGAAGTTCTGTGGCGTCTTCCTGCAAGGCTCCAGTTCCCTCTGGAGCCGCCTGGATCCTCCAGCGGCTGCTGCTTCCCACTGGAGCCAAAGCTGGTCCCACAGGTGGGCTGCACCCAGCAAGGGCCTCCTCCGCCTTCACGTGTCGCTTCACCCACTTCCACTGACACGCTGTTCCGTAGGAAATCAGGTTTTATCCAGCCATTTTCCGTTATTTGAGGCTGCTGGGGAAGAGTAATTTGCCATTTCCTCCGGAGTCATAATTCCGTGTGAGCTCACTCACCGGTGCTCCAGGTATCCTGGCTCCTCAGGCAGGGAGCGGGTGAGCTGAGCTGTGATGTTTAGATACACAAATTACATCCTAATTTGTGTAGATGAGTGTGGGATTTCCCATGGTAATGATTAACAGTTCAGAGACGAGCTCCAGGAAATGCTGGGATAACGGAGTGCGTGATCCGAGCCAGCGGAGCGGGTAGGGGGGCTTTTTTTGGGGAGGGTGAGGGGCGGAAAATTAGCAAAGCTCATTTGATCGGTGCCGTGTTTGACTGTGACTTAACGAGGGTCGTCAGATCCTCGGGTAAACCGGAGGGAAAACTTGCCAGGGAATGTGCTGCCGTTCTCAGCTTTGTCTCACGGAGCGTGTGACAGACGTGTCAGCCCTGAGCGTGTTGGGAATTGCACACACGTCCACGCGCTGGTGCTTTCCCTTCGGGTCCGGATGGCAGGAGAAGGGAATGCAAATGATGCCGGAAGGGATGCAAGCGGGGGAAAAACATCATCTTGGGAAGTACAACCTTGGTCCAGCAAGACAATTAGGCACATCCCTCAGCCTGTGCTGCTGAGCCCCACTCCGGTGAAATGTGATGTGTCACTGAGTTGATGAACTCTCCCCCTTAGATTCTCTACAAGAATCTGGAAGCATCCACGGATCCAAGTTGGATCTCTGTGGGATCAGCCGCCTTCCCCACAGCTCAGAATCACACCCTACATCCCACAGACTTGTACCTATTCCTAGAGGATTTCCTGGCGCTTTGCCGGGCTGGTTGACATGGCAAGTAAGAAATTAAGAGAGGCAAAATGCCTCTATTTTTTACTAGGGGGAAAAAACCCAAACAAACTCCACCTCTAATAGATTTATTTATTCTATTTATACAACAAAACCTCATTGCCCTGAACGCTGTGTTTACATCCAGTGACTGCAGCATTGTCCAGTGACATCAGTCCATGGGGTGATTATTCCTCTGCTACATTTTTCAGCTGGCGAAGGAGGAGGCTCAGGCTTTTCCTGAAGCTAAGGAGGAAAGGAGAAAGTCCTTGCTTTGTTCTGAAAGTGGGCTTATGGGTCATTAAAAATATTAGCGCTATTTTGAAACGGATCAAACTTTGTCCCAGTTACTCAGGCCTGGAAACAGGCAGCTGCTTGGTGTAACCCCTCCTTTTGTTTCATGAAAATAATTGAGCTTTTTTGAAAGCTCACAGAGCAAGTTGGGGCGAGCGAGTGGAGGGTGTCACCCCTGGTCAAAGCTGGCTCGCTGTCACACCCCTGGGAGCTCATGCAGGGGGGTGTGATGCATCCAGAGCAGGATTTAGCCTTGGGCTAAAGGTCAGCATAAGGCTATGCCTCATTTAAGGCTCTTCCTGAACGTGCTAAGTGGTGCACAGACCTCACAACTGCTGCCAGTTGAATGGTTGAGGCAGCTGAAGAGATGATAAAAAAATCACAAGTGATTCCTTGCTGTGAGTAGGGGACCCTGCTTTTCCCAAAATAAGGATTGTCAGTCGAAATCCTGCTTGGCATGGTGAAGTCCAGCCAGCTCAGGGAAGGTTTGTAGTAGATTACAGTGATTTTCTTTCCTGAAATTGTTTGTGCTTGGCAGTTGGTGGTGCTCAACAGCCTGCTCCCCCCAGTCCAGTAAAACCATTAGAGATCCCCTCTCCCAGTTGCTCCTTTAAACTGGAACAAATTGTGTGAAATCTCGTGTTTCTCATCGTGGCCCGTGTTGCAATTGGAGTGACCCACCCATCAAGAATTCAGTTGTAAAACCATAAAAGGGATTTCAGAGGTTATAGATACTTCGTGGTGGGGGTTTTCAAGCTGGATAGGAGATTTATGAGAGCCAGGAAAGGCCAGGAACTGTTTTGAAGAGAAGGGGCTTGTTTCCAGCACAGGCCAGGCCGAGATCATCCCTGCCACACACTTGGACTGCACAGCAATGGGTTAAACTGGGAAGAAAAGGATGATTTTGGTAGGTTGTTTTTCCTTTCTGTTTGTTATTTGATTTCTGACCTTTTATGGTGGATTTTCAGATTCCACTTCCTGGCATTTCTTTGTGAGTCCAAGTGCTGGGAACCTGACAAGTGAAAGCTGAGATGTTTCAGACAGAGAGGCCTTTACACAAAAAGCCAGAAATATGCACAACTAAATGTCTGGCTTGTAAATGAGGGGAAAAAAATGAAGTGCTGGGACTTGAAAGAAGAGACAAGACAACATTACAACATAAATATGATCATAGAATCATGGAATGGTTTGGGTTGGAAGGGGCCTCTAAATTCATCTCGTTCTAACCCCCTGCCATGGGCAGGGACACCTCCCACTAGCCCAGGTTGCTCCAAGCCCCGTCCAACCTGGCCTGGAACACTTCCAGGGATCCAGGGGCAGCCAAAGCTTCTCTGGGCAACCTGTGCCAGGGCCTCCCCACCCTCCCAGCCAGGAATTCCTTCCCAATATCCCATCTAACCCTGGAGTTGGTTGTGTCTTGCTGCATTTTCCCTGCTAAGCCCACGGATGAGAAGCAGCACATGGAAATATCATTTAGGGCCTGAGTGATGTTCATGGGCAGAGGGATTTATATTAACTCCCCTGGATCGCTGAGTGGAACCTTCTCCAGAGGGAGAAGGAGTCTGGGACGGATGTTGTCATGCTTTGGGAGGCACAAGGTGGATCATTTCTGGAAGTCACTTCAACCCAGAGAGACCCCAGTTCCCTTGTTCCTGCTGGAAATGCTCCCACTTGCCATCAGTTGAAGGAAGGTGGAATGTTACAGCAGGAAAGGAACTGAACGTGAATTTCCCAAGTGAGGTGGAGGCTCTGGAGAAGGGGCCGAACTCTGCCAAGCCCACAAAGTATATATTGAGTATTTAAAGCTCTCTATATACATAAACGTTTTCTCCAGACTGTAATTGCTTTTAATGCTGTATCCTAGGATTTTGTGGCATGTTTACCAAACTTTAATTTTCAGGCAATTTTAGCAACAGAAGGGTAAAAATAATTTCAGGTCAGAAATTACTAAATCCAGTACTGGTGGTGGAGATGAAGGGAGGCTGTTGCTGACAAACAGAGCAGATGAATGACCGTGCAGAAAATGTGTGCTGGGGGTGAAGCAGGAGTTTTGGAGATGTATTCCTGGAAGTGTTCCAGGCCAGGTTGGATGGGTCTTAGAGCAGCCTGGTCTAGTGGAAGGTGTCCCTGCCCATGGCAGGGGATTGGAACAAGCTGGTCTCTGGTTTGCTTCATTCCCAAGGTGGGTGTGTGCCTGTGTCTCTGAAGCTTGCAAATAAGGAGCTCAGCCTGGGAATTCCACAGCAGCAGGAATTGCTGTTGCTTCAGAGCCAGCTGAGCACTGGAGCTTCAAGTGAGTGGTAGTAGGTGTTGTCATTAAAAAGCTTCACGTTGGACTTTGGCATTTGAGGTGTTGTAACAGACGGATTTGGTGGCTGGTGATCATCCAAGCTCTTGTTTCTGTCAGCATCCACGCCGGGAAGGTCCCAAACCACTCGTGTTATCAGCAGGATCATTCATCTCCTTGTTTCCTCTGCCAGAGGGAGAAGGGGCTGAGCTGGCCACGCTGGAGCAGCGGTGCTGCCAGCTGGGTGACTCAGGGCTGGCAGGAAGGAGGTGCACTCCACGTCCTGCCACTGCTCCAAAAAAAGCAAGGGATGAGGACCAAGCCTGACAGCAGCCACTCCATTCAGCTCCCTGCTCTGGGAATCCTGGGGCACAGAGGAGCAGGATCATGACCAGGAGAACGTGGGAGTACAGTTTGGATTGGGCAGGGGTGTTAGTACTGCTGTGCTGTTGGGGTGTGAGTTTGCCTTGACTTTGGAGAGGACAGTTTGGGATCTCAAAGGGAGCCTGCCAAGTGTGGCCTCTGACAATCACAGAATCAATTATGTTGGAAAAGACCTCTGAGATCATGGAATCCAACCTGTGACCGGTCACCACCTTGTCAACTAGACCATGGCACTAAGTGCCACATCCAGCCTTTCCTTGAACACCTCCAGGGACAGCAACTCCAGCACCTTCCTGGGCAGCCCATTCCAATTTACCTGCCATTCTTGATTGAAGGACAGGGCTCATTTGTTCCAGGACAGTTTTCTTCACCTGTTTATCAGCAGTGCCCTGCAGTTCCCTGGGTGTAGATCTTCATCCCGGGCTCTGTCACTGACCCCTCATTTCCACAGGTTCATAGCAGAGCTGGAATTACATCTGTACTTCCAGTCTGGGAAGGTGCAAGTGATTTCCAAATAGGGCACAAAAAGGTCTGGCTCTGCCTTCCCATTCCCTGCTGCATTTCCCAGACCACCAGCCCCTGGTGGAAGGGGACAACAGGGGTTCTGACGGAGGTGAATGTGTCACTTCAGGGGGGCTTGGTGGCTCTGGTTAGTGGGTGCTACTGGTGGGCAACACCTGGGGCTTTCCCTGATCGGATCTGGGATCCTCTGAATCCATGGGGCTGAAAAAATCCCAGCAGAGGTGTGAGCAGGGTGGAGGGAGGGTTGTGTGGCCAGCAGTGACCTGGATGCAGGAGTTGCATGGAGAGAGACTATTTACTGGAGTGCCAGGACAGGGGGGGAATGGCTTTACACTGAGAGAGGGCAGGGTTAGGTGGAATACTGGGAAAAAATTCTTCCCTGTGAGGGTGGTGAGGCCCTGGCACAGGTTGCCCAGAGAAGCTGTGGCTGCCCCTGGATCCCTGGAAGTGTTCAAGGCCAGGTTGGACAGGGCTTGGAGCAACCTGGGCTAGTGGGAGGTGTCCCTGCCCATGGCAGGGGGGTTGGACCAAGGTGAGTTTTAAGATCCCTTCCAACTCAAACCATTCCAGAATTCCATGATATAGAAAGGGTTGGTGATATAGAAAGCAGGGGTGTGTGTGTGGGGGAGCCTTTCTGTCCTGCTGGCCTGGAACCCTTGGGTAGCATGGTGTGGGCAGGACTGCAGAGCACGGATGGGTGTGAGAGAGGGCTTTACCCAGCCATGATTCCCGCTCCATCCTCTCAAAGACAGTCTCCCAGGAGCACCTCAGTCTAGACACCTCATGGCAGCCCCGTGCTGAGGGAATTTGCCAACTCATAGCCAGGCCAGGCTCGGTGCCTCGGGATGCAGCCCTGCCCTGCGTGCATCCTTTGTGCAGGATCGACACAGGTCATTGCTGAACAACACCCCCCCTGCCCTGGCAGTGTGTGTGTGCTGCTTCCATGCTTTTATTTCCCATTTTTCCCTCGTTAGCTGGATGAGGAGCAGAGCTCTGCGCCAGCCTGTCTGGGAGAGGAGGAGAGGATTCCTGGTGCATGCTCAGAGCGCTGCCGCCTCTCCCGGCCTCCCCAGAGCCCTGCTGATCATCACTGCCTGTCATGTGGCACATGAATTCAGCATGAATAGAGGGAGCAGAACTCATGTCCCAGCAGCAGCCACGCTGAATGTGATCAGTGCAAGGGGGACGACAGCTTGGAGAGGGATGTGTGGCTTTGCCAGAGCCGTTGTGGAGGGCAGATAAGCTTCCTGGAAGCTGAAGCTCTCTGGAGAGGGATGGGGGCTGACTGTAGGCTCTGTTCAGGGCTTGGCTCGTGGTGTGGTTGGTGGCACTGTGATATGTGAGTGGTGTAAAAGGCAGCTGCAGAAAGGACCCACAGGGGTATCACTGCTGATCAAACTAATCCCTGGAGAGCTGCTGATAAGCAGCCTGACACAGTCGATACAGGGACACTCTATTCCAAGGAAATAACAACAAGGTAAAGATTCCCATCAAGCCTCTATTTTCTCCCCTTGGTGTATTGTGTTTTTCAATGCGGTAACTTGGTTTGAATACCCTCAGAATGCAGCACTGCGTGACATCTGTGTGTTTGTGTGGGTGACATCTGAGCTGGGGTTGTTCAGCTGGAGAAGAGAAGGCTCCAGGGAGACCTCACTGTGGCCTTCCAGTACTGAGAGGTGGCTTATGGAAAGGAGGGAGAGCGACTTTTTACATGGTGGGACAAGGGGGAATGGGTTTAAGCTAAAAGAGGAGAGATTAGTTTGGATATTGGAAAGGAATTCCTGGCTGTGAGGGTGGGGAGGCCCTGGCACAGCTTGCCCAGAGAAGCTGTGGCTGCCCCTGGATCCCTGGAAGTGTCCAAGGCCAGGCTGGAGCATCCTGGGCTAGTGGGAGGTGTCCCTGCCCATGGCAGGGGGTGGAATGAGATGGGCTTTAATGTCCCTTCCAACCCAAACCACTCCGGTATTCCATGATTTCAGCAGGGGGATCGGAGCCCAGGCTGCCCTCCCTGCTTTCCACAGGCAGTGCTGAGGTGATGAGACTCCTGGGATCCAAGGAAGCATGAGAGCAGGGCTGGCAAGTTGGCTTTCTCAGGCTCTGGTCCTGCAGGCTGTGTTTGCACAGATGATGGGACACGGCTGCCTTTCATCCTCTGGGATGAAATGTATTTATTGTGCAGGCTCATTTCAGGACAAGGCTGATTTATTAGTGGCTTTCTGGGAAGCAGTCAGCACTTCTGTGTCCTGTTCTTCCATAGCTGAGGAAGAACAGGCTTCAGCAGGCACTCACCAAAGGTTGCATAATTAGTGGCATGGAATTTACCTAATTTATTCCTCTCTAGGAGTTTATATGCATTAGACATGTCTGTCAGTCTGCACACAGGCACAATGTGAAATACACTGCTTTAATTTAATTAATTTTAGCCAAAAGTCAGTCCTAGACCAGTTGGAGAATGTTAATTTTTTTTTTTTAATGCTGTCTGACAGTACAAATGCAAATGCAAATCCTGCTCTCCTTCCCCTTTCCCGCTTGGAATCGCCATATGGAAAAGAGAACGTGGCTTCCACCCCGCTTCGGAGTCATGGAAATGAGCTGTTATGAAATGGGGGAAAAGGAGCTGTATCCTGACAATTTCTGAATGAGCAGCTGGAGAATTGACGTAATTGCAAGGCGCCAGGAGAGGGCCGGGAGAAAGGAGGAGCCATCCCAGAAAATGAGTAAAAACAAAACTGTGTTTAGGAAAGCTGAGCCCTCCTTCCTTTCCTTTTTGGCCGGATGGTGTTTTGCCCTTGCCAGGTACAACTTCCTTCGAAGCAAATAACTCATTTCTGGCCAGAAAAGACCAGTTCAGATGATTGATTTCCAGTAATGTGCAGCCATCTTATAAAGTTAATCCCTGGCTCTCCAGTGGGGCAGATAATCTAATATGCAGAGCATGGAAGTTTCATCACATGGAGGTAAATATGAAAATAAATATGAAAAGGGGAAAGTTCTGTCTGCCAATGGCACACATGAAAGAAGCAGAGACAACAGGGATGAAATTAGTTCAGAGACCTGCTTGGTATGATCTCTGTCTCCTGATGTCTCCAATGAGCTGGGAAATCAATACATCCTGCTCATAATACCTTGTGTTGTGCAAACAGTCTGATTTTCCTGGTGTTCAGGTGATGGAAGCAAGGACACCCTGGGTGCTTTGGGCTGTTACCTGTGTCTGGAGACATTCTCCCAAAACCTGCCAATATCTCCTTGAAAAAATTATTCTCCTTCGGATTCTGATGTTTTGAAAGGACAGAACGATCTCTGCTCCTCTGCACTGGTTGTTGCCCTTCCCAGCAGGTGAACTGGAGGGAGGGGAAAACCTGGGAGATCCCATCCAGGCACCAGGGGCTGGAATCTGACACCTGCTGTCCCTCTGGAAGCAGGAGGGCAGGGACTCTCCTCAGTCCTCTGTGCTGGTGCATCTCTGTCAGATAGTGGAGGGTGGGATTTGCTTCCAGTTGGTTTGTGAGAGCGGCACCACGTGCTTAGAAAATATGTGAAACATTTTTAGGGTGTAACCTCCTCCTGCCTGTCTTGCTCCTTTTTAAAAAAACACAACTTTTCTTTCACCTCTAAGAGTTTTAAATCATGGAATCATGGCAGAACAGAATGGTTTGGGTTGGAAGGGACATTAAAGCTCATCCAGTTCCACCTCCTACCATGGGCAGGGACACCTTCCACTAGCCCAGGTTGCTCCAAGCCCCATCCAGCTTGGCCTTGGACACTTCCAGGGATCCAGGGGCAGCCACAGCTTCTCTGGGAAACCTGGGCCAGGGCCTCACCACCTCCCAGCCAGGAATTCCTTCCCAATATCCCATCTAGCCCTGCCCTCTGGCAGTGGGAAGCCATTCTCCGTGTCCTGTCCCTCCATCCCTTGTCCCCAGTCCCTCTCCAGCCCTCTTGGAGCCCCTTTGGGCACTGGAAGGAGCTCTCAGGTCTCCCTGGAGCCTTCTCTTCTCCAGGTGAACCCCCCCAGCTCTCCCAGCCTGTCTCCAGAGCCAGGGAAATTGGATTCCAGCCAAAATGCTGGTCCCACTTGCCCTCTGTCTGCGTGCCTGGAAGTGGGATTTGTCTGGTCCGGGAAGGGGGCACAGCTGTGTTACCCTGATGCTTTACTTAGAGTCAGGAATATTTCAGTTTAATTCGATTTACAAATTTTTTCCTGCCTCTGCCATGAGTCACATCCTATCCAAGGATCTCTCCACTGTCCTTTCAGTGCAGCTGTACAAAGAAAATAAAAATTGGACTTGGTTAGCTGAGCAGGGCATTGGGAAACACCACAGGAGAGGAGGTCTTTCTTATCCTTTATATCCCTTGTAGTGTGGCAGTGCTTAAGCAGAGCCCAGAAGCCTGTGGCCCCTTGGCACCTGGCCATACTTTACCTGTTGGGAATGCCTGGATGCTGGAAAGAGTGTTTGGTGTGTGCCTGCTCTCAGAGACCTTCATTTTCAAGTCATTTGGTGACGTGTGCCTGAATCCTGAATCCGTGGATTTGAAATGGGAAGGTTTTTGGTTTTTTTTCCTGGAGGCCCCTGAACAGTGACACAGGGCAGGGCCTGATGTTTGAAGGGATTTTAGTGCTGCAGTCTGGTGGAGAATCCTGCTTTTCAGAGCGTTTGGGACTTTTGTTTGGCTAAAAAACCTCCGAGCGTCGGGAAGAAAAGATCTTTGTCTTTAAACTGTGAGCAAAGAAAGGTCTGTAGTATATGTCCAAGAGCCACCAGAAATCCCCTGGCAACCAGGCTTAATGATCCCAAGGCTTCCTTGAGGGATCTTAGGAAATCAGAACCCCCTACAAAAGAGCTGCTGTTATTTAAAATATGAAGTTTGTGCTGGAGGCTTCTTTATAGAGAGGCCGGGAATGGGCAAATCCTGTTCCTCTTGGAATTTATAACTTCATGGGCACACGCAGCCCTTGTGCTTTGAAATGGCTGAAAACTGGGTCCCCGAGGTCAGGGGCTGAAACAGAGGCTGAGGGGGTTTAGCTTGAGGCAAAACTTTGGAAAGTTACAGCCTGAGCCAGCGAAGCGGGAAGTTTTTGTCGGAATGTGGGGAAACTTTCCATCACACGCTCCTTTCCCTGCTGGCAAGGAGGTCTCACGTGGCTGGAGGTGAGCTGACTGGCATGATTAATCCCCTTCCAGCACCTCTTTCCTGGGCTGGAAAGTTTGGAGAGACGAGGAAAGGAAAATTACTGGAGCTGGCCTGCTCCTTGCAAACCCCAGGGCTGAAGTGTCCGGGGATGGCAGGTCCTAAAATGCATCCAGTTCCTGTGAGATCCTCCCCTAAGGCTGGATAATCCCTGCACAGCCTGGGCAGCAGCTCCACTGGGAACTGTGCCATTTCCAAGTGGGAAAGCGAGCAGTGCCTGTGCTTTGTGCATGGTTCCCACTTGGGAGTGGAGAAGTGGCTTTTATCGGGATGGGTTTGTGTCTTCCTGGCCTGGTTCCTGCTGGGAGCGTCCCTGAGGATGCTGCTGATGGCAGGAACAGCAGATTGCACTTGGAGCATCAGTGCAGGCTGCACATGGAGCAGGGACAGCAGTGGCACAGGATGCCTAAAGGCTGCATCCTTTGATGGAGATGGGAGATCCTTGGAAACCTCAGCTGGAGTGCTGCATCCATTTCTGAGTCAGCCTTCGGGAAGGGCCTGGTGGGGAGTGTCCAGAGGACAGCAGATCCCTAGATAACAGGAAAGAAGGATGATTGGGAGGCTTGGACTTCTTTTTTCCAGCAGAGGAAAAGCTGAGGGAGGTGTTGTGACAGCCCCTGTGTGTATGCCAGGAGTTGTTGGAGGGAACAACAGGGTGATTTGTTCTCCCTGTCAACTCTCGTAGGACAAAAAGTAACCGGTGTGTTTTGTCATGGGAGATTCCAGCAGGGAACTCTCTGCCTGCAGGGACCCCGTGGCAAGGAGTCTCCATGGGGATGTCTGAGGCCAGGTTCAGCAGCCATCTGCTCCGGATGATGCTGTTTTGGGGTGGATATTTGGGCTCTCTGGCCTCTGACCCTGCCCAGCCCTGCCGTGGGCGACTCTGCAGGAGGAGGAACCAGCAGCTCTTGTTTCCCCCGTGTCCACAGGTAGTTTTGCAGACAAGACCTACGAGTGGAGCTCTGAGGAGGAGGAATCCGTGAGGAAGGCAGGACCAGTGCAGGTGCTCATTGTCAAGGATGACCATTCCTTTGAGCTGGATGAGGCCGCCCTGAACCGCATCCTGCTCTCCGAGGCTGTCAGGGACAAAGAGGTCGTGGCTGTGTCCGTCGCCGGAGCCTTCAGGAAAGGGAAATCATTCCTGATGGACTTCATGCTGCGGTACATGTACAACAAGGTGAGGCTGCAGCTCAGGGGGCTCTTCCCAGCGTTCTGGTGCTGCTGCTTGTTGCTTCCCAGGGAAGAGCTGGACAGGAGTTGGTGCTCTGGGAGTGCTCAAAGCCTCTTATTAGCATGGGCTCCACAGAATAAAACAGAGCAGATCCTTCCACGGCCCTGTGCACTCGTGGGTCTCTTGTGGAATCTTCACTTTGTAGCAGGGATGTTCACATCTGCCGCCCTGAATCATGGAATCATCAAGTTTGGAAAAGCTCCCTAAGATCATCGAGTCCACCCCTTCCCACAGCACTGCCAAGGCCACCACTAACCCCAAGTGCCACATCCACATTGAACACTTCCAGGGATGGTGACTCCACCACTGTACAGGACAATCTATTCCAATGCCTGATCACCCTTTCCATGAAGAAATTTTCCCTAATATCCATTGTAAACCTCCCCTGGCACAATTTGAGGCTGTTTCCTCTCCTTCTGTCCCTTGTTCCCTGGGAGCAGGGCCTGACCCGCACCCCCCCAGCTCCTCCCTCCTGTCAGGGAGTTGCAGAGCCAGAAGGTCCCCCCTGAGCCTCCTTTTCTCCAGGCTGAGCCCCCCCAGCTCCCTCAGCCCCTCCTGGTGCTCCAGCCCCTTCCCCAGCTCCATTCCCTTCCCTGGACATGCTCCAGCCCCTCCATGTCTTTCTTGTCATGAGATGCCCAAAACTGACCCCAGGATTCAAGGTGAGGCCTCGCCAGTGAAAGGAAGGAAAAACCTCCCTCATAGGATTTTTAACCTCCTAATCTTTTCATAAGGAAATCTCTCCAACAGGGACTGTCCCCTCCAGCACCGGGACAGAAGCAGCACAGGGGAAAAGTGTGAAACCAAAGTGAAATGAGAACTCACAGCAGCTTCTTCTGCTCCTCCCTGCAGGATGCTGTGGACTGGGTTGGAGATTACAATGAGCCCCTGACTGGTTTCTCCTGGAGAGGAGGATCTGAGCGGGAGACCACCGGAATTCAGATATGGAGCGAGGTTTTCCTGGTGGACAAGCCTGATGGGACAAAGGTGTGTTGCCTCTTGTTGGTGGCCAGCTCGTTTTTCTCTTCCAGCTGTTAAGACTCTTCTGCCTTCTCTTAGGTGGCTGTGAAAGTTTAGAGAAGGTTTTTAATGCCTTATCCCTAATTTAGCATGGATGGGTTTAATGCAGTGAGATGATATGATGTCCCAGTGTCCATGCTATGCTCTCCAGGTGTCCCTCTAACTCTGTGCATCCCAGAGTTTATATCTGTGCTATTCCCACACATCTTGGATCTGAAGTCCTTGCAAATTACTCCCCTTCCCTGGAGCAGCAGCTGTAAAATGGACTTTCTCCATTCAGGGTGGTCAAATACAATGCAAAATGGGATTTTGGAGGCATCCTGCAAATTCAACTTGCAGGAATATTTTGTATTTGCCTACTCTTTAATGCAGAGCCCGACACCAAAGCGGCACTGAGTCATTCAGGGTGTGATTTCTAGTGCTGGCTGAAGGTGTTCTGGGTTAAGGAGGTGCAGTAAGTGTTTGGTTTCTATGACACAAAGCTGATGCAGACTCAGGAAAAGACTCCTCTGCACTGACAGCAAGTGTTTGAGGAGCAAATTTGCATTAATTTCAGTGCCTGCTGGAGTCATCCTCCATTCCTGGAGTCAGGAATGGCTGGAGCTGCTCTTTCCCCTTGTCCTCCACCAGCAATAACTCTGAGGCAGAAGCAGTGAGATTCCCAGCAGAATAATGAAGCTGGCATTCCACCCCCCACCCCTTTGGCACGTGAGGGTGGATTTCCTTGGATGCAGATGCCGAGGGGGTGCTGACAGGGATCTTTGTGCCCGGGCAGGTCGCGGTGCTGCTGATGGACACGCAGGGGACCTTTGACAGCCAGTCCACCCTGAGGGACTCGGCCACCGTGTTTGCCCTCAGCACAATGATCAGCTCCATCCAGGTAAGGAACCTCTGGGCTGGGGGGGGCTCACTCCCCAGGAACCACAGAGCCTGGCAGGGCTTCCCTTCCTGCCATCCCGGTGGGTGGGACGGGAGCTGTGTCTTGGGACAGAGCTCAGCACATCCTGAAAATGGAGCAGCAGGAGAATTATTTGGTTCTGAGAAGCCTCCAGGCTGGAGCATGACAGCCCGTGGTGCTCCCAGGGCCTGTCTTGTACCACACCAGTCCCCACCTGGGACTTTGCCTGTGTGCCCATGGTGGTGTTGGAGGCTTTAACAACATCAAATGTGTGTTAGCCTGAAGGACAGGCTGTTCTGAAGTCGGTTTTTTATTTAAATGCAGGTTTATAACTTGTCCCAGAACGTGCAGGAGGATGATCTGCAGCACTTGCAGGTAAGAGAAGAGAAGCTTCAGGGTGACATAATTGTGGCCTTGCAGGACCTGAAGGAAGCTGCAAGAAAGATGGAGGGAGACTATTTACAAGGGCCTGGGGTGACAGGAAAAGAGGGAATGGCTTCAACCTGACAGAGGGCAAGATTAGGTTAGATATTGGGAAGAAATTCCTGGCTGTGGGGGTGGTGAGGCCCTGGCACAGGTTGCCCAGAGAAGCTGTGGCTGCCCCTGGATCCCTGGAATCCAGGGATCCCCTTCCAGGCCAGGTTGGGCAGGGCTTGGAGCCACCTGGGATAGTGGGAGGTGCCCCTGCTCATGGCAGGGGTTTGGAAACAGATGATCTTTAAGTTTCCTTCCAATCCAAACCATTCTGGGATTCTATTCCATGATTGTAAATTATAAGCCTGGATGTTGCCATCTGGTACTGGCTCAGTACAGGTGACCACCCTAAGGGTAATTCCAGCCCTGGCTGTTGGAGAAAAGCAGCTAATGGGATTTTTGTGGCACAGGTGTCCTGCTCATTTCCTGGAATTACCTCCTGCTTTCCCTTCTGTTTAGGTGATTGATTGATTGATTGATTGGTTAGGTAGGTTTTTTCAGGAGCTTAAGGAAAAGGAAAGCAAAAGTCCAGCTGAAAAAAATCAGCATTTGAAGACTTCTGAATTATTTCAGTCTGTAAATATTATTAACAATAACACTGAATTTAACACTGAATTTATCCAGTGCAACTCCGATCTTCCAGTTTGGATTTTAAGCCGTTATTGTTTAACGAGTTGACCCACTTTTAGGCATCTGTGAAATACATTACTCTGCCTTCAGTTTGAAATTAAGAGTCCAGAAAGGCTGGAGAGTCTTCAAATCTTGCTTGTAGGCTGATTTTAGAGTCTTTGCACAGCGGGAAAGTACTTATTCCTGAATTCATTTCCGCTCGTTCCTGGAGTGTTTAGAGGGAGCAGGGCTCCAGCAGTTCCCTTGGAGCACGTGAAGTTTCTGGTTGGTATGAAAGCAGCAGCAAGCAGCTGATTTGAGCCATTTTGCACAGATTTGGCAGCCAAACCCTCCAGGCTGAGACCTTTCACGTGAGGGCTCAGCACGGTGATTGTCTGTAACAGCTCCGGGTGCCTCTCGGATGGGGACGGGAAGCCCAGAGACTGTTTGTGTTCCAGCTCTGCACATGGAGCTGTTAGTCCTGGATCATAAATGTCCCTTACTCCTTCACAGAATCATAGAATTCCCTGAGCTGGAAGGGATCACGAGGATCATCCAGTCCAACTCCCGGCCCTGCACAGAGCACCCCAACAATCCCACCCTGTCCCTGAGAGCGTTGTCCAAACCCTCCTGGAGCTCTGGCAGCCTTGGGGCTGTGCCCACTGCCCTGGGGATCCTGTTCAGTGCCCAACCACCCTCTGGGGGAAGAACCTTTCTGTGAGATCCAACCTAACCCTGCCCTGGCACAGCTCCAGCCGTTCCCTCAGGTCCTGTCCCTGCTCACGGCGCTGTTCCCGTGTATCCCACAGCCCAGCTGACTGTCCTGTTCTTTCCTTCTCCTTCCAGCTTTTCACCGAGTATGGCCGGCTGGCCATGGAGGAGACATTCCAGAAGCCTTTCCAGGTGAGTTCCCGGCCGGCTCTCTTGTCCCTGAGCCCGTTGGCTTCACCACGAGGTGTCACTGCAGGATGGGAGGAGATGGGATTGCCCTGGGATGGGCTCAGCTGCTCCAAGGAAAGGCTTTGTGCTTCGCTGCCCCCAGAGAGGCTTCCAAATATTTCCAACATCCTTCTTTCTTTCCTCCCTGAACCCTTGCCTTCCCAAGAGCTCTGCCCTGTCCTGCCAGGCTTGGAGAGCAGTTGGTTTTGCTGCAGGTTTGTCACACTCTGTGCTTGGAGACTCTGCCCAGCTTTTGCCAGGGAATCCCTGCTCCTGGCAAAATGAAGGGACGAGGATTAGCAGAGCTGTGGGAAGGCTCAGTTTAAGTGGGGGTTTAGCTTCAAATAAGGGACATCTGTTCACCCTGCTGCTTCCCGACCTGTGAAAAGCTGCTGTTCAAAAAAAGGAGAGCTTTGGGCATCCACAGCAGGTGAGGGGGTAGTTGGATGGGGGTTTGTGAACTTCCCAAAGTGGAAAATAGCAGAGAACAAAGCATGCTGCAAAAATTCAGAGTGATTTGGAATGGGTTACAGCTATTTTACATTTGCTTTCCAACATAAAAAGAGAATTGTTGTCCTGGAAGGACTGAGGGGTTTATAGGCTGTCTGTGGTCAGGAAGTGGAAGTGAAATTAAAAGGTTAGAAAATATGACAAATGGACAAAATTGAGATCTTGGGGGAATTTTAAGGGTCTGTTGGATGCTGGCATGAGCAGATGACTGATAAAGGATGTGAAAACTACCAGTAAAAATACAGGACTTGTAGTAGCAAGAGCTTGAAGAAAGTTGTAACATGGTAGAGCAGAAAGCCAGACATTAAATAAATATCCCTGCTCCTTATTTAAGAACTGTGGGGATAATACAGCCAAATATTCCAGTGAAAGTGAGATACTTCCTACTCCATCAGTAAAAAGGAGGCTGTAAGGGGAAACTTAAATATGCTTAAATCATTAGGGCTGAATAATAGGCTCTGATTTTACCAAAGACTTTAATTGCTGTCAAGTCACACAGTTGGTGGATGGTGAGTCTTGTCAAACAATCCCATTATCAATTTTTAAAAGACACGAGCTTGGTTGATAAAGGTAACTCTCACCATGTCATATCTCCTCCTCTAAGCCTTATCTCCCCAAGATGCTGATTAAAAGCAAATGAAGTCAGCATTGTCTGGTTTAGCCCATTGTTAATGGATTAAAAACTCATTAACTGATAGATGCCAGAGCGCGCTGAACTAATTTTAATGGGGAATGATCATCCTTCAGAAGTGTTTCCTCAGGGTCCCCCCAGGCTCTCTCTGGTTCAGTGTCATCTTCAGTAATGATCTGGGGGGAAATATCAAGCAACTGCTTGTGGATGTGACAAAATGTGGTGGAAGGATTGATGGTGATGTGCCCAGGTGAACTCTGGAGATCTCCTGTCCACATCCCAGCACGGGCTTGTTCCTCCAAAACATGTTTTTAAAGACAGATGAGGTTTTTTGATTAGGAAGCAGGAAAAATGAGGGTGAGGAGGCCCTGGCACAGGTTGCCCAGAGAAGCTGTGGCTGCCCCTGGATCCCTGGAAGTGTCTAAGGCCAGGGTGGAGCATCCTGGGCTAGTGGAAGGTGCCCATGGCAGGTGGTGGGACTGGATGAACTTTTAGTTCCCTTCCCACCCAAACCACTCTGTAATTCCATGATTCTCCAAGTGGGATGGTAAAAAACCTGCAGTTTCACTGATCCTGCTGGAAGGGAAGTGAGACTTGGCAGTGGAAAATCAACGTTTTCCTTCAGCTCCCTCCTCTCCACGGTGTGTCCTCACACCGAGGAGCCCTCACCAGACACCAGCCCTGACTGTGGTGCCTTCACAAAGGGGTGCCTGTCTCTCTGCTTGGCAAACACAGCCCATCTGGAACAACTTTACTCGAGGGAAAAAAATAATAATTCCCAATTCAAGGCGTGCACAATGTGTTTGTGGAAAAGTCCTGAACATGGACACGTCCCTTAAGCATCTCATGGGCTTCGAGAGAACAGCGTGTCCCCAACCAGCTCACTGGGTGCAGTGGTTAGAAAAGGCCAACTCACTGTTCTCTCCTTTTTTTTTTTTTTGTTTTATTTTAACCTTTTCTGATGTTTTATGGAAGAGAAATAAAGAGCAGAAATATTTCCCCTCCCTCCACTGGATTTTTGTTCTAAACATAGACGAATTTTAGGGAAATTCCAATGAAATGGATTCCACTTGCTGACCTGCCTATTCGTGTGCATGAGAGGAGCCCTGGCAGCCCTGCCAGACCCTCCTGGACTTCCCCCTCCAAACCCTTTATTTCTTGCATGGGATGTTGGTCCCTTGCACAGACGAGACATTGGAGACCTGATTTCTTCTGAAAATATTTCATTTAAAGATTCAAAGTTGACCCTTCTGGTATTTATTTGTTTCTTGCCCAGGAACTTTGAATGCCTCAATAAAGATTACAAAAGCCAGTGATTTCTTATTCACCCTCGTTCCTCTGCATCTGCTTCTCATTAAAAGTCTGTCTGGAAGGCTGCCCAGTGAAAAAGGCTGAAAAAAAAAATGAGCCTGTAAAATTCCCATAGGATGGAACTAAATGTGGCTGGAATTAGGGAGCTCGCTGCCTTTTGTCCTGGTTACCAACAACCTCTTCCCCTGCTGTGCAGTTGAAATGATTGATGATGTTCTCCCCGCCAGGGAGTCAAACTGGTGCAGCAGTTTGGGGTGTGCTTCCCCCCTTTTCTTGTCTGCACGGTCTCAGTGCCATGATGGGGTGGCAGGAAAGGCAGGAGGTGCTGCAGGAGCTGGGAAAAGACTCAGGGCAAGGTTTTGTTGTGGCATCAAATGGGGGTGAAGGTGCTGGTGGGGTTCAGCCACCGCTGTGGACTCCGAGCAGCAGCTCACTGTGACTTGGTGGGTGCTGTATAACACTGACCCCACTGTTCTCTGGCTCTGTTTTCCAGTCCCTTATATTCCTGGTTCGTGACTGGAGCTTCCCTTATGAATTTTCCTACGGATCTGATGGTGGTGCAAGATTTTTGGAGAAGCGGCTGAAGGTGTGTTCTGTCTGCTCTGGGTTCCAGGTTGGGTTGGACGGGGCTTGGAGCAACCTGGGATAGTGGAAGGCATCCCTGGGGGTTGGAACTAAATGGTCTTTAAGATCCCTTCCAACCCAAACCATTCCATGAACCTGGAATCTGCCATCACTGGGTGTCAGGAGTGAACTGCAGTGCTGGTTATGGTCACGTGCAGCCAGTGCCTTAAAAATCACAGGAGAGGCATTTTGGGAGGATGAATTTCCTTGCCGTGTTCAGTGGCTTCTGCCCAAGCCCAGCTCCCTGGAACTCTCTTTCTGGGAGAGGCAATGGATTCCCAAGAGACCAGGAATGATGTTTTAGTAATAGGTAGTTTTGCACTAAAAATGATGGGCAAGGGCTCCAGTGGGATTAATGGGGAATTGCATGGGTGATCTGGGAGTGGAGAGACCTAATTAAAGGCAAGACAAGAAAGTCCCTGGTGGGAAATCCCAAATGTTTTTGTATTCCAGTCATACACAGACATGCACATTTTCTGAAGGATAATAACATGCCCCGGGCCGTGTGGTCAGAGATACACCAGTTCCTTGGTCTCTGGAGGAGCCTTGCCTTTGTCCTTGCGCAGTAAATCCCTAAGGGATATCCTTCTGTGTTGCTTTTTCCTGCTCTAAGTGTGGAGTATGCCATGCTCCTGCCAGCGCTGCTGGCCCAGCATTATCCCAGTATTCCCATCAGAAGGAAAATCCCTCTCCCCAAACCGGGGGAAGCGAAGGGGCAGCACCGATCTCTTTGTGGTGACCAAGGGCCTGAGGGAACGGCTGGAGCTGTGCCAGGGGAGGGTCAGTTTGGACCTCAGGAATAGGTTCTTCCCCCAGAGGGTGGTTGGGCTCTGGAACAGCCTCCCCAGGGAAAAGGTAATGACTTCAAACCTGCCAGAGCTCAAGGAATGCTTGGACAACGCTCTCAGGGACAGGGTGGGATTGTTGGGGTGTCTGGGCAGGGCCAGGGGTTGGACTGGATGATCCTTGTGGGTCCCTTCCAACTCAGGATATTCTGTGATTCATTCTCTCTTGCAGGTGTCAGGAAATCAGCACGAGGAGCTGCAGAACGTCAGGAAGCACATCCATTCCTGCTTCACCAAAATCTCCTGCTTCCTCTTACCTCATCCGGGCCTCAAAGTCGCCACCAACCCGAATTTCGATGGGAAGCTGAAAGGTACGAAGGCAAAGCTCTGCTTTTTAAGCTGATACACCTCAGATACCCTGGCAGAGTGTCCTGCTTATTCCTGAAACCTCTATAAGTATTTTCCATGAAAAAACTTCCGGGAGAGGAGTTGGATCCTCCTCCCAGTTATGTACACACACCCACCTGCTTCTTCCCAGTCCAGCAAGACAGACATGGGAGGCCAAAAGGTGTGGGAGGCTGAAAAGATCTGAGAGTTGCTGGCAATACCCGCTGTCAGGACACTGACAGGCAAACTGGGAAGGGCAGGGATGAGGCTGGAAGTTTATGGAATGGTGTTAAGCCTGCAGTTAATTCCTGTGCCTCACCAGGCTCGGAGTGGTACAGCCTGGTGCTCGTGGAGGGTGGAAGGCCGGTTCCACGAGACCTTGAAAAGCTTTCCAGGGAATATTTAATCCTCCTGACTTATCTGATCGGTGGTTTCCCTCCAGGGCACACTTAGTTCAACAGATTAAAAAAAAGAAGGAAGGAAAAAAAGAGAGAATTCTCCACCCCGAAAGGAGCCACGTGCTGTGGGTATTTTTAGGTATTTTGTTGTGAGCTGCTCACCAGTGTGGCTGGTTCCAGGCTGCTGCAATCTCAGCAATAAAGTGGCCCATTAGCCACTCCAAATAAATCAGCAGACAGCTGCAGATGATGGTTCTTCCCTGCTTTTGTCTGGCTTGTGCTCAGACTTGTTCTCCCGGCAAACTCCGTGCCGAGCAGTGGGAGGGACAGTGAGGCAGCAGGAGGGAGATGTGCTGCTGGAAACGGAGCTGGTCTCTGTAGTTCCCCCTTAATTTCAGGTGCTGAGCAGGATTGAACAAGTGGTTTGTGGAGAAAGGAGTTGTCAGCAGCTTCTTGACACAGTTTTCTTGTCCCCTCAGAGCTGTGCTCAGCTTTTTGTGCTCTGGTGGAGGGAATGTGGGAGATCTTCTCTGCTCTCCTTATCTTCCAAATGTCTGGCTGTTACACTGTTTTTTCTGTCTTCAGTCCCATGTAGTTTAATTTAAATGGCAGCACTAGCAATCCCACCAGTGCCTGAGAGCTTTGTCCAAATGCTCTGTCAGGCCTGGGGATGTAACCATTCCCTGGGGAGCTGTTCCAGTGCCCAATCACCCTCAGGGGGAAGAACCTTCTAGTTGAAGGTGTCCCTGCCCATGGCAGGGAGTTGGAATGAGATTGTCTTTAAGGACCCTTCCAACCCAAACCATTCTGTGATTCTCTGATGCCACTGTTTGGACTTTTTTTCCAGAAATAGACGACGAGTTCATCAAGAACTTGAAGATTTTGATTCCTTGGCTTCTTAGTCCTGAGAGCCTGGATGTTAAGGAGATCAATGGAAACCATATCACCTGTCGAGGCCTTGTGGAGTATTTTAAGGTATTAGCCTATTTTTTATTCACCTGTAGCCTTTTGCTCTAATGAAAGGGGAAAACAGGAGCAGTCAGGGCTGCCCTGATAGTCCTGACTCACTGCAGCAGAGGGCAAAAACCTCATGGACCTGTATCTGACCTCACAGTGAGCCCAAAATCTGGGAGGAGCTGTTTTCCTCCCCTGGAGAATGGAGGACTAGAGGGGGATGAGCTGAGGGCTGTATTCCCATTGCCTTTGGAAAGAGCTTGTTTTTGTTGTCATGACTACTGGGACATTTCCATGCGAGACATGGGTGAGTAATTCTCACCACCTGCTCCCCAGAGCTACCTGCCTCTGGCTCCTTCTCCCTCAGGGAAGGACAGAGGTAGGTGCAAATCCAATGGGAGGGTGTGAGTGGTGGAGGGAGAGCCTGGAATGACTGACCCAGGGCACCCTGGGTCTACCTCGAGCCACGTTACGTCGCATTTCCTGACCGAAGCCATCTCGTGCCAGGAACATCCTCCTCCTTTAGATCCTGTCAAAGCTGTGTCTGGAGCTGGGTGGGGGTGGTTGGTGTTGCTCATAAGTGCTGCATTCCTTGTGATTTCCTGTTTTCCAGGCATACATAAAGATCTACCAAGGGGAAGAGTTGCCACACCCCAAGTCGATGCTGCAGGTACGTGAGTGGGAGCTGGTGGGAATCCATGTGCTGGAATTGCCATTAATTCCCAGAATTGTCCAGCTAGTGCAGCACATTGGGTCTTCTGTGATTGCATTCCAAAAGCCTTAATGTAACAACCCAAGGAGCAGCGTTTTGGGAAGCATTTGGCAGTCAAGGGGCCTGACGTGGCTCAGGAATTGCCCCTTGGATGGGCTGTGGGGAATTGCTGGCTGCACAGCTCGGCTGGAATGATCCCCCACAGGTGAATAGGATCCGTGGGGCCACACAGGGAGGTGACAGGGTTCTGCATATGGGCAGTGGCTCCTGGGCTGCTGCTCCACTCCCGGAGCCAGCCGGCATTCCGGCATTCCGGAGGGTGCAGCTGTGGCTGTTTACATACGGCTGAGCCTTTTATCTCTTTCCTTGCTGTTTCCCACAGCCAAAGCCAAAGATTTCGTTGCTCTGGCTTGGAGGGAGGGAATCCTCTCTTCATGCAGGCTTTTGGATGTGTAAATATGGGATGATCTTATTTGGGATTGGTTGGAGAACACACTTGGCTAAACAAGGGAGCTCCTGAATTCCGGGTGTCCACACATGTGTCCTGGCTGTGAACACATGTGGACCAGAGAGCTACTTCCTGCTGTTCCACTGCTTAACCCTGTCCTTCTGCACCTTAATTTTGTGCCCCTTTTGCCCTTCTTACAGGCCACAGCAGAAGCCAACAATTTAGCAGCAGTTGCCACTGCCAAAGACACCTACAGCAAGAGGATGGAGGAGGTGGGTGGTGCTCAGCATGTCTGTTCACAGTGCTCCTGTCCCTCCTGCCATAGATTCCTGGGATCCTGGAATGGTTTGGGATGGAAGGGGCCTTAAAGCTCATCTTGGTCCAACACCCCTGCCATGGGCAGGGACATCTCCCACTAGACCAGGTTGCTTCAAACCCCTTCCAGCCTGGCCTGGGATACACTCCCAGGGATGGGGCAGCCACAGCTTCTCTGGGCAACCTGTGCCAGGGCCTCCCCACCCTCATAGGGAAGAATTTTTTCCCAGTATCCCATCTAACCCTGCCCTCTGGCAGTGGGAAGCCATTCCCTGTGTCCTGTCCCTCCATCCCTTGTCCCAAGTCCCTCTCCAGCTCTCCTGGAGCCCCTTTAGGCCCTGGAAGGGGCTCTCAGCTCTCCCTGGAGCCTTCTCTTCTCCAGGTTGAACAGCCCCAACTCTACCCTTGTGGGGAAACCTCCCTGCTTGGTTTCCTGGTAGAAAATGTCCCTCATGAATTTGTCCAGGTGCCAGGGTTTCAAGGAGGGTCTGTACTATATTCCTGGTGGAAAAAGGCTCTTTCTCCCAGGCTGGAGGAGAGCAAAGCCTGATATCATGGCAGGACAGGGGAGGGGGAGTGACACGTGGTCACTGCTTCATCCCATGGCAGCTCTCTGCAGACCACGTGGCCTCTGCTGAGCTTCCATTCTCTTCCCAGCATTCCCCAAAAATGTGATGGAGTGGGGTGGTCACCTGTGCCATGGCTGGTGCTAATTAGGGGATAATGTCATTATAAACTGGCTTTTCACCAGTGTCCTGCTCTGTCAGCCCATCCCTCAGCTCTGGTGAGGGGCTGGGTGTGATGTTTTAAGGTGGAGCTCAGACCCCCAGCTGTCTCCAGCCACCTCCAGGCCCCCACTCTGTTCATCCATAGTATCCCAGGATTATATCCCAGAACACTGGAAATCGCTGCCGGTTGGCAGGAAAAAAACCATGGAGCTGCATGGCCAAACTGCACCTTAAAACTAATATATCCATACTCTGATGCAGAAGGAAAATGCTTCCAAATAGGGTTTTCCAGCTCTGGAAAAATGCTGGGATTCAGGGTCAGTGTCGGGAAGCTCTGAGGGAATTGAGCAGGGAGCTGTGGGGTGGGGCAGCAGCCGTCTGTTTAACCGGGTGCGTGGAGCGATTCCTGCAGGATCCAGTGGTCCCGTAGAGCCCCAAATCCCGGCGTTTTGGACGTCTGCGGGGTGGTGACATTCCAGGTGCCATCCCAGTGCCTTTCCCAACGCAGGTCTGCGGGGGGGACAAGCCCTTCCTGGCGCCCAGCGACCTGCAGAGCAAACACGCGGAGCTGCGGGAGGAGGCGGTGCGGCTGTTCCGGGGCGTGAAGAAGATGGGAGGGGAGGAGTTCAGCCGGCGGTACCTGCAGCAGCTGGAGGGGGAGATCGACGAGCTCTACATCCAGTACATCAAGCACAACGACAGCAAGAACATCTTCCACGCCGCCCGCACCCCGGCCACGCTCTTCGTCGTCATCTTCATCACCTACGTCATCGCCGGCGTCACCGGCTTCGTGGGCCTGGACATCATTGCCAGTCTGTGCAACATGATCATGGGCTTGACACTTATCACACTCTGTACCTGGGCTTATATCAGATACTCTGGGGAGTACAGAGAACTGGGAGCAGTAATAGACCAAGTGGCCGCAGCCTTGTGGGACCAGGTAGGATAAAACAGCTTTTGGTTTAAACAGAAAAACAACTCCCCCCCACCCCACACCCACCCCGCTGAGTTCTCCAGGGGATTTGCCTCCCTGTTGAGATGGTTTGGGATTTTTTAGGGTTGTTAGAGCCAGCAGATCCAGCTGCTCGTGCTGTGATCTGTGCCCTGGTTTAAGTTTTAATCCACTCCTTAGACCTTCCAGGTGGGGAAAGGAGGGACGGAGGGATTGCTTTCAGTGCAGTTTGTGGAGTTTGCTGCAAGGTGAGGTGTCTTAGGGATGTCAGAGCAGGGTGAACAGCAAGGCTGGAGCTGCATCCCTCAGCCTCTGGAAAACAAGCTGTGTAGATCTGGGCTGGGCATGAGAAAACTCAAAGCAAGCTCTTTTGTTTTGGCTCTTTTTTTTTCCCCCTACTTGTCTTACCCGTCACCAAATGTGAGTCTGTGGAGCCTCAGACCTTGTGGCAATGGGGCTGCTCTGCCATGGATCCCACTGGGATCCTCAGAGCCGGTGTGTGTGCTTGTCCTGTGCGTGTCTATGTCAAAAAGGAAGATCCATTTCCCTCCCGTGGTTCAGGGCAGGGATTTTGGCTCTCCTGGGTCTGCTGGAGGTCAAGGCCAGGTTTTGCCTCTGCCTGTTTTGGCACCAGGCCTTGCTTTCCTGTTACAGCCCTTCCCTCTTCCCAGTGCAGAGCTGGGGAAAGCCCAGACCCCCTCTGCCCATCCAGGGGTGCAATCCATGTTCCCAGAGAGCTGGAAAGGCTGCACTGGCCTCCTGCTCTTCCATGGCAGAGCTGGGTGAGCTCATCCCTCAGAAGCCACCAAGGGTTTGATTCCTGGCAGGAAGGGCCATTCCCCAGACCTTTACCTGCTCCTTCCCTGCTTTTCATCCACCAGCAAGGTTTCCATGGAGAGCAAGCACATTTCCCTATTTCCCTGTGCTGCTGGAGCTGAACGTGCAGCTTGGGGAGAAAAAAACGGAAGCATTTACTGATCAGTTCCTTCATTCCAGAGCTGGGTAGTGGCAGCACATCACCTGTGTCCCAGGTGGATTCATCCTGGCTTCCCTGTTCCCAGCACCCACAGTAACCCCCACTCCAGTGGCTCTTTGCTCAGGGACACTTCCCAGCTGCCTTTGGGATTTGCTGGAATATTCAAGCCCAGCGTTTGCCCATCCCGGTGCAGGCAGCAGTGGGAGTTCAGCAAGAACAGCACACAGCAGGAAGTTGCTGCCCACTTACAAAATGCCCAGCTGGGGGAAAATAAAGAGGTTAAAGTGCCTGGAGCTGCTCCATGGCTCCTGCTGGTCCTCCATGGCTTTCCAACCAGAGGGAAAGTTCTCTGGAGCAGGAGCTGTGCAGGAGGGTGGTGCTGGACTGGGTACTGAGACTCTGCCCCCCACGAGCCTCAGGGCTGCCCCAGGGGGATTCCAAGCACTCATGGCTCCCATGGAAGTGGGACTGGATACAGGAGGGATGGATGGAGCAGTGAAGGGTCCTGCCTGTTTGGGACACAGCAGGGATGAGCTCCATGTGCTCCCATGGACACACGTGATACACAGAGATGTTTCTCTCTCTTTCTGTCTCCCCCTTCCCAATGCCTCTCCCAGGGAAGCACGAATGAGGTAAGTGGCTCTTTGTTCTCCGCATGTTCCCTCGGGCCAGCTGGGCCCTGGGATCCCGGGAAAAGCCTCTTGGACCCGGCTGCACGTTTGGGATTGTGGAGGACTGGGACTGTGAGGGCTCTGGGCAGCAGCTCTGGTTGTTCCCTGTGATACCAATGACTGGGGAAGGGCGTTGCTGTGGGAAGTGCTGGGAGCCAAGTGGGGGAGAGACGTGGGCAGGGAGGGTGATGATGTGATGGGGATTTTCATCTCCCATCAGTTCTGTTTGGGGATTTTCCAGTTGTGCTGAGAGGTCAAACCCAAACCCAGTTTGTTTTGGAGCACCAACTGTGCAGGTGCTTCTACCCCCCTCAGGTGTGACCAACAGGGATGTGGAGCTGCTGGAGCAAGTCCAGAGGAGGCCATGGAGCTGCTCCAAGGGCTGGAGCCCCTCTGCTTTGGAGACCTGGGAGAGCTGGGGGGGTTCACCTGGAGAAGAGAAGGCTCCAGGGAGACCTGAGAGCCCCTTCCAGTGCCTAAAGGGGCTCCAAGAGAGCTGGAGAGGGACTTTGGGACAAGAGATGGAGGGACAGGACACAGGGAATGGCTTCCCACTGCCAGAGGGCAGGGTTAGATGGGATACTGGGAAGGAATTGTTGACTAGGAGGGTGGTGAGGCCCTGACACAGGTTGCCCAGAGAAGCTGTGGCTGCCCCTGGATCCCTGGAAGTGCCCAAGGCCAGGTTGGACGGGGCTTGGAGCAACCTGGGCTAGTGGAAGGTGTCCCTGCCCATGGCAGGGGGTTGGAATGAGATGGTCTTTAAGGTCCCTTCCATCCCAAACCCATTCTGGGATTCCATGATTTATGGGCACAGCCACAGCAGCCCCTCCTGGGCCGGGCTCCTTCCAGCTCCCCTTGCCCGGTGGTGCAGGATCCCAATGCCCAGCTCTTTGCCAGGCCAGGGGCAACTGGAACCTTGTTCAGGCAGAGCCTTGTCAGCACCTGATTAACCCAAGACAGATTTCCCACTAATCTGCATTTACTGCTCACGTACCTTAATCCAGGATTGCAGCCAAGTGGCTCCCCAGTGAGGCTGTGACAGGACAGCTCCATCCTTTGTGCTGTCACCAGAGCCTGCCAGCTCCATCTGTCAGTGCCAGCACACTTCAGAGCCACTGAGTTACGTGTGGAATTCCTCAAAAAGAAAACACAGCAGTTAAAAATCAGTCCATTCCTCCCCTCCCAGCCAGGGCAGCTGTTTGGTACCTCACTGATACCAAACCAGCAAGAGGCAGAACGGGGGCTTTGCTGTGGATGAGCTCTTGGACAAACCCTGCCAAGCAAAAATCAGCGCTGAGACACTGGTTTGGCATCAAAAAACCCCCCCAAAATAGCCCAAAATGCTGCAAGGTCAGTTATGGTTTGGAGGTGAACTGCTCCACCAGTCCTCTCTGTTCCCAGACAATCCCAAAACACCACTTCTGTTCCCTTTTGGGATGGGTTCAGCATCACCTTGGACGTCCCTGGACTTTTCTCATCCCCCACCTTCCTCCTCCTTCCTGCAGCTTCAGCCTCCTTCATCCACACCCTGAGCACATGAGGAACACCCTGTCAGTGTGAGGGTTCCTGCCTGTCAGGTGCCTCTTCCCAGCCCCTTCCAGAGCTAATCTTGGCTCACCAACAGTTCCCAGCAGGAGCTGGTGGGATTTGGGTTGTGTTTTTTTAACTCCCCCAGTGACAATTTCATTTAAAATGGGAATGTCAGAGCCATGACAAGTCCTCTGCAGCCAGACCTGTGTCTTGGCATCTCCTGTGCCTTTTGTTCTGGGATAAAGGTGAGGGATGAAGGGGGATGGTTGGATGGGGGAATTGCTTCCCTTTCACCAGCCCGTGGCCGCTCTGGTTCAGCACCGCAGCCACTCCTGAGCGTCCTGACCCTGGAGTCACTCCAGGACTAGTGGAAAATGGTAAAATCAGAAGGGAAAAAATTGGCAACATCAGCAGAAAAACGATCAGGACAATGACCTGTCACCGCCCGGAGCCCTGGGTGTGATGCAGTCACGGATCTGCCTGGTGGGGAAAGCGAGCGCTGAGGCTGCAGGAATTTAACTCGTAGGGAAAAACAACCCCCGGGTGTCTCTTCCTCGTCGTCCAAATTATTGATTGAATACAGCTCAGAAGGGGTGAGATGTTTGAAAAATTGGAACTGTAGAATCACAGAATTCCTTGAGTTGGAAGGGACCCACGGGGATAACCCAGTCCCACTCCTGCACAGACACCCCAACAATCCCACCCTGTCCTGAGAGCGTTGTCCAAACCCTTCTGGAGCTCTGGCAGCCTTGGGGCCGTGCCCACTGCCCTGGGGAGCCTGGGCAGTGCCCAACCAGCCTCTGGGGGAAGAACCTTTCCCTGAGATCCAACCCAACTCTGCCCTGGCACAGCTCCAGCTGTTCCCTCATTCCACAAGCTGGGGATCTCTGTGTGTCGGACACTTGTCACGTTCGCGTCGGTGCATGGAACAAACATGGGCTGTGTTGGGCCGCTGCGGAACGAGCGTGGGGTTGGGAACAGGGTTGGGAACGGGGTTGGGAACGGGGTTGTAAGCGAGCTGTGTGTCTCTCCCCAGGCCTTGTACAAACTGTACAGCGCGGCCGCCACCCACAGACACCTGTACCACCACGCCTTCCCCGCCCCGCGCTCCGAGCCCGACGGCCCCGACAGGAAGAAGGTGTAAAATCCCAGCACGTCCCCGCCGATGCATGATGGAGGTGGTGCCGCCGCCGCCGTCTCCTCCTCGGATCCAAGCCCCTCACCCTCGTTGTCCACCCCAGACGCCGCCAGGAGCGGGGAGCGCCGGTGCCGCTCGGGTGCCGCTCGGTGCCAGCACGGCGGTGTCCGTCCGTCTGTCCGTCCGGCGCGGCCGCAGCCGAGCGCTTTGGTCTGTCCCAGCCAGCGACTCCCAGCTCATCTTCAAAGCCTTATTTCCCCCCTTTCTTAATTAGTTCCCACTGAGGGAAACAGTCATTTACGTGATACTGCAACTAAAAGAGGCCGAAGCTTATCCAAAAGCCAATTTATTTCAGGTACTTGAAAGAGTTATAACATGTAACCACTTTTTTTTTTCTCCTTCAATTAACTAGTTAATGACATAAACATAATTAAAGGTGTATTAACTTGCTTTATCAGACACTGTAAGGGCACTTCTGCTGTGGAATGTTAACGATGTGTGGGGAACGGGGCCGTTTCTGTTTGTCTGCACAAAGTGTCACTTTGTAGCTGTGTTGGAGGAAGTTTCACTGTATTTCTGTACATATTTATCCATGATAGTGCATAGGACGTGTCGTACAGTTCTATTCTTTTATTGTCAGGACTATTAAAGTTTGCTTTTGGTTCCTAAGAAGTTGGTTCGACGGGGAAAAGTTATTTACTAGCAAAAAAAAAGTTCTTGACCCCTCCTCCTCTGGCATTTTTGACATTTTTGGTTTCATTTTGGCTCTCAGAGTTGGTGTTTTATGGCCCAGAACACTGTGATTGGAGCATCCCAAACCCACATGACTTTTCCTGCTTGTAAGAGCAGTTTACCTGATATTCTAAAAGGCCCAAGAATCAGTCCCACGACCCTTCGTTCATCGAACAAAATGATTTTTATTGAATGAATAGGATTTACAAGAAATGTACTTTTTTTTGTCTGCAGTGTTTATTGCACTGAAAAGAATCCATAAATAACATTTCAGGACAATTCATGAACCAGATGGAAATACTGGAGAGGGTAAGTGGACAATTAAAAATTTTCCCCAAGTGAGGAGCTTTAATACAAAGACAAAAGCTCGTTAAAAAAGAACAGTAATTGCTGTTACATCCCTGATTTTCCCCGTGGGGTGGCACAGTGACAATGCCATTGCCTTCCCACCAGAGTGGGTCAGATTTTGTGAAATGCAGTTTAGCCAGGATTTAAAAAAACTCTGCTTAGAGATCTTGGTCTTTAGGAAGGTCCCAAGTGTTCCCCCTCTGAGTGAAAACGAGTAGTAAATCTGAAGTAAAAAATAAGGCAACTCAGGCTCGGATCTGATGGGAGAAATCAGCTCCTGGTGCTCCTAAACAGGAACAGGGTTGGTGTTCTGTACATTAAAGCTGTAAACAAAGAGCAGAGCTCTCTCAGGAGAGGGATCCCAAATCCTGAGGGAAGTACACCCTGAACTGGTCATTTGGATTTGGACAAGGTTTGGAAGCCGGAACATTTCACACACAGATGTATCTATTGCCCTTAAAAAATATATAAGTCAGCTTTTAATACTGCAGCTGACTGGGAGGAAAGAGACTGGGATCAGGGCTCTGATCAAACTCCACGCTGGTTTTCAGGATAACAAACTACTCCTTTGCATGGAGAGAAGGGAAAACAAAAAAAAAAAAAAAAAGGATTACCAAACAATCTCCATTTTTATAAACAACACATAATACATGTAGAAAAATACTCAAGAGGATAATAACAAAGGTGCAACGTCAACAAAAATAAGCTGCCTTTTCAACAAAAGCACTTTTTTTTTTTTTCTTTTCAGAGTTTTGAGTGTGAGGGGGGGAAAAAAAAAACACCAACCGAACAACCCTTTTTTTTTGTTTTTTAAAGCTGTTGAGTGTCCTCAGAGAGAGAGTCCGTGGGGAGGGAGGGGTCAATAGTTCTTGCCGTGCTGGGCGTACCACTGCTGGCGCTGCTGGCGGTGCTCCAGCTCGGTGAGCAGCGCCTGCCGGAACGCCTCGTACAGCTTCACGATCCGCTCCAGCTCCTTCATGAACAGCAGCTTCAGCATCCCCTGGTACGTGTCCAGGTCCGCCAGCTGGAACAGCTCCCACTTCAGGATGTGGTCATACCTGGAGGGGGAGAGGAAAAAGGGTTTGGGGGTTTTTTGGGGGCTGACGGCAAAACCGGAGTTGGGTCGCAAAGCGAGTTGGAAGAATCCCGGCACCATCCCTCAAATCACACCAAGACTCCAGAAATACTGGAGATCCCTTGAAGTGATCAGAATAAAACAACTGAGAAAAATGTAGAGGGTGAGAGAGCTGGGGGTGTTCACCTGGAGAAGGGAAGGCTCCAGGGAGAGTTGAGAGCCCCTTCCAGTGCCTAAAGGGGCTCCAGGAGAGCTGGAGAGGGACTGGGGACAAGGGATGGAGGGACAGGACACAGGGAATGGCTTCCCACTGCCAGAGGGCAGGGATAGATGGGATATTGGGAAGGAATTCCTAGCTGGGAGGGTGGTGAGGCCCTGACACAGGTTGCCCAGAGAAGCTGTGGCTGCCCCTGGATCCCTGGAAGTGTCCAAGGCCAGGTTGGATGGGGCTTGGAGCAACCTGGGCTAGTGGAAGGTGTCCCTGCTCATGGCAGGGGGTGGAACTGGATGATCTTTAATGTCCCTTTCAACCCAAACCATTCTGTTATTCCATGATTCCATGATTTAAAATTCTTAAAAGTGAAAGAAAAGTAGCATTTTTTTAAAAAGGAGCAAGACACACAGGAGGAAGTTACACCCTGAAGATGTTTCACATATTTTCTAAGCTCTCACAAAGATAAACTGAAAGTAAATCCCACCCTCCACCCTCTGAGCTGCAAGAAGTGTTGTGATGGTTTCAAGTAAGGCCTGAAACAAAGCAAATGCGAGAAACGTTCGGTACAACTTCCTCGTGTGCCATGAGCAACAAAATCAGACGCAAGCACAAGTTCTACTTTATACAGAAATTCTTTAGTTTCTAAGTGTGAACTGCAGAAGGAAAAAAAAAGAAAGGCAAAAATCTCACTTGACAGGAGCCCTGGCGTAGACCTGGAGCCAGTCTGGGATCTCAGCAGTGTGGTAGGGGTTGGCAGGGACCAGCAGGGGTTGGCTCCGCTCCGCCGGCTGCGGCTGGTAGGACACGGGGGGCGGTTGGTCGTAACGGGGAACGCTGGGAGAACAGGGGAACACAGGGAAAGCCGTGAGCTCCCAGGGGCACCTGACACACTGACAGCATCAACTGCTTGATTTATACACAGATTAACGTGTGCAAAGGCTGGTGGTGCAACCGCAGGAGGGGTGTGTTGCCTCAGCAGGTCTGCACTGAGCAGCTCGCGGTTGCTGTGTCGGTGTTTCGCTGCAATCACGGGGCGAAATTCCCCTCACACCCACTCACCAGAGCACGAAAAAAGCTTTAGATCTGGTTTTAAAATGTTAAAGAAGTATTGATTCAGCCAAAAATAATCCACCATTTAATATGTCAGCATGACATACGAATACAAATGTATTCAGGCAGCAGCTGATGAGTTATTCCATATAAAGACATCCTCCCATATTTCTCAGACATTCATATACAATATATATCATATATTTATCTTTTGTGCCACATCTTAGAAAACTTTCCCTTCCTGGGTACCAGCAAAATAGACTGAGTGGCAGGAATTCACTGTTAGATTTGGTTTATATTAGCTTTATTTTACCTGGAAAAATACAAGTAGCTAAAATACCAATTTTCATTCTAGACAAGACTTAATTCATGTTTCAGATCCTCAGCCGTCTCTGGGAGCATCAGATCGAGTTTCTTTCCAGCCCAAACAATTCAATTCTGCTCCCAGCAGCTTTGCTGTTTTACTGACAGCTGAAGAGCTGCTTTGTTGGAGTGACTGAGGAGCAATATCCTGTTTCTAAACTTGTGACAGAAACACGAGACAAAACCCCGACAATTACACCTCCTCCTCAAGATCTCGCTTCTAAAAATAAAGTTTTGGCACGTCGAGACAAACCCAGTTCCACTTTAACTGGATTAAGGGAAATACAAGCACAGAGGAGGTTGTCTGCCTCACCTGGGAGCACAGGGATGTTTGTACTGAGCTCTTTTGTTGATGTGATCCACGTAGTAGACCCCGAATTCCGCAGACTCCACGCGCTCCCAGCCTGGCGGGAGCCCCTCCCGCTCCAAAGGGTGGCTCCAGTGAGTGGTGTTGGTGTTGTGATCTATGTAGTATTTCCTTCCTCTGATAGTCCAGTCCACTGACCAGCCAGGAGGAAGAGGTAAATCTTCAGAACTATGATTTGTTAAGTTTCCTAGAGATGTAGCAGCAACTCTCCCGATGCCTGAAAAAAAAAACGGGAGGATCAGGGTTTAGTTCAAGCTTCCCAGAAATGATAATTTCTGTCAACACACTGTTACAGCTGCACCATTGATCTACAAAAACCCCTCTTTCTCTAGTTACAGCCAGAAATTACAACTATCCAGGAAAATCACCGAACCCCAACAATGTTTTTTAGGTGAACCAGTGAAGAACAGCAACAGGATCAGGGAAAATGAGAGAGGAGGGACGTGAAGGGCTGACAGGAATCAGTAGGTGATTAAATTCCCACCTCTTCCCTGGAAACACAACACACTTGGGGTTTATCTACCACTGAATTTAAGAGACTGCTCACTGGCACTTCAGAATTTTAAAAATTAACATGCTGGATGGTGAGAGATGTACTAAAGGAACACAGTTCCTGTCCTGTCCTTTCCTAGGGATGATTAGGAAGCTGGTTGAAATTAAAGACATAATGGCAATTAAAGAAAACAAACAAAAAACCCCACCCCCAAAAAAACCCCAACCACAAAACCACAGTGACATAACCAGGAATTTTGCAGGTCTCTTTCCATTCCTGGGAATCTACAACCTCCTGGATGTGTCAGCCCAAAATTCAACTCCACTTTTTAACTCCTTTCAGCAGTTCCCCTCGGTTCCTCCAGTTCTGCTGTTAAACAGCCTCTGGCTCCAAAGAAATTCCCAATTATCTTCTCATCCCACGGCCAAATGCATCTAATCAATCCCAGTATCATCAGTTGGTGTGTCACCATTTCCCACAGCCAGCAGAAGGGATTTGGGAGCCACCTTTCCCACTTTTTTTTAGAAGTCAGAGAGTGCCTCCATCACACATCCCACATTTACTGATGGGAATACACCCCTTTCCTCCTGTTTTCCAGGAACAGCATTTTGTGTGATTGTTTTTTGAGGGAAGGGAAAGGCAGAGTCTCTCTCACCTAAAAAGACAGACTGAAAACTGGGTGGGTTATTTCCCAATAAAACATGGCATTCATCAACAATGAAGGCTCCAAAGCAACTGGAGAAATATGAAATAAATTTAAAGACCTCTCACACTGTTCCTCAAAAGTTTGAGCTCATCCACAAATCTTTTTCCAGCTTTTTCATGGTCTGAACTGTCTGGCCTTAAAGGATTCCCTCTTGTTTCAGTACTTACCTATTTGTCAGCCTATAAAGGGAAGCTGTGACCACCTTTTATTGGGATTAAGCAACCTAGACCTCTAATTCCAGAGAAAAGAAACATCCTGGAAGCTTCCTGATCTCTGGAAGTGCTGGGGCAGGGAAGATATTCCAGCCCCTCACAGTGATGTCAATTGTTTGGTTTTAATTCCACCGACAAAATACAAACATTTCAGCTTCTTGAAAATACTTTGGATAAAAAAAAAAATCCTGGATTTTCTCCAATTAACTGGTTGTAATTTCCTGTACTCTCGTGACTACTTATATTTACATGTTTATATTATTATGGAATAGTCACTCTTTAATAGTGACCATGAAATCAACCCTGCCAGGAGATCTGAACACACAAATTGGGGAAAAAAAAACCACCCCTATTTTCTGTTTGCTGTTCAAACCAGCACATGCCCCTGTTTTTTACAGTTCCTCCACCTCAAATTCAGCAAATACACAAATATTTATATTTATTCCTCAGGGTTTAAAGCTGATGCTTCCCAACACTTGGGAGATTGCATTAAAAGCTGCCCCATCCACCCTCAGCACCAGAAGTTCTCTTGGATTCTCCCAATAGCAGCTTTTTTGTTTGTTTGTTTGTTTAATTTCCGAGAATCAGAGAACAAAAATAACACCAGACCTCAAATACATATTTGTCACTTTGATTTCATCTATGAAGAAGCAGAGCCACACCATTAAAGTAAAACTTATGTATCAACAGTGTTCCATGAACATGGAATCAAAGGCCAGATTTATAAACTGATGGTTGCAAATACTTCAGGGTGTAATTATTATTTTCCCCCTTAAAACCACAGATCATGTTGGGATATTCTCTGTGTTGGAAGATTTATCATGTTGATATTCATAGTGTCTTAAAGCCACCAACCCACTGTGGCATTAAAATCAACAATTGGTACAATTTAGACTTTTTTTTTCTCCTATAAATGGAGCTTAATTAGAGAGATCAAAAGAAATTATATATTGGTTTTCCTGATAAACCTCAGCAGATGCTCCTTTGAGGGAGAGTGGATACACAGGTAAGAGAAAAAGCTCCTGCTGTGATTCTGAACGAGAAGAGAAGAGGAAAATTGACTTTTTTTTAGATATATACACCTGTAAGTACCAATAATAAGACTGAACAACACCAAGAGTAAATTCCTATGTGATCTTTCCCAAAATATAAACCAAAGAAGAAAGTTCCAAGCTCCAGCCTAAACCCATGGACTGCTGACATGATATAATATAATATATAATTGGGTATATGTGGTATATAATGGGGTGTATATGGTATATAATGTGGTTGCTGTTGCTTTCAAGGAACATCAATATTGAAATTAATTTGAGGCTTTGCTTTTTCCTCCCATTTCTAAAACACAGAATCTTCAATTTTAAGGTCTTGAATTACCACCTTTAACTTTGAGCACCACGTTCCAGTGCACTGTAAAGAGTTCCTTCTCTTAAAAATGTATCTTAAGGTAATAAAAGTCACAAATGTGAAAAATCTGGAGTGTTTTCTTCAACCAAGGAGGTTGTGTTGGGTTTGTTCCTCCGGGGTGGAACAAAGGAAACTGGAATTGATGTGTCAGTGCTTTCCCAGCCCCGTGAAGGGCGTTCATTCCCTGCCTGGAAAGAAGTCCAAGTCCTTTGGAGGAAAGATTTCCAGGTCAGCAAAGGGCAGTTCTTCAGTCTGGTGGGCAGGAAGGACAGGAGGAAAATCCCAGCACCAGTAAAATGGGAAAAGAGGAAAAAAACCTCTGAGGAGAAAGTCTCCCTTTCGTAGGAACTGTGCTGATGTTGGCAGGGAAGTTCCAGAGCCCAGGAACTCCCCACAGCTGCCTCCAACCACATTTCAAAGTGCTGAAGGGCAAATCTCACAGTCCAGTGTTTGTCTTTAACCAGCCCAATTGTCCTGAGAGCCTTTTTCCAGGATGCCAAAATCCTCTCCCTTCCCCTCATCAAACCTGGGATGAAGAACGGGAAGAGAAGACGAAGCAACCGTTTGATTTTCAGGGAATAAGCAACAACAAAATGGCAAAAAGCAGCTCCTGTCACTTCTGTCCAGACAGGTCTGCAGGTCCCAGGCCTTCCTAACCCATCCCAAAGCATCCAAAGGAACTTCCTGAGCACAGGCACCTCTTTTGTCAGAGGGAATGGGGCGTTCCAAGCAAGCACAACTTCAACAAATAGGAAACGACAGGAAGGACTGTGAAAGCTGCAAGAATTATGCTGCAAAATTACTGCAAAATCAGCACAGAGGAAGAAAAGGGCAGGAACTGCCACTTGTTTGAAAATGAGAGATGTGTAAACACCTAAAAAGCGTGGCTGTTTTAGTTCTAAATAGGTTTCACGTAATAATCTGTGTTTATTTTGCTCTTTTATGAGACACGAACACCAGTTTGCAATTTTTTTACGAGGTTTACAAGATGAACCTACTTTCAACTCCGTTCATTGCTTCTCTCCTCTGCCATCCCAGTGAACTATTTCCAATCCAAAGTCCCTCCACACTGTGATTTCAATCTCAGCAATTTTTCATAGACACAGAAGAATGTTCTTACCGCTCACACAGGGACAAATAACTCTGAGGTCTTGGTTACAAGTTACTTCCAAGCTACACTGTAGGTATAACTTCAACCACAGACCTCCCCAAAACTTTAACCTAGAAGAGAGGAAAGACATGGCCAGGAAAGACAGGTAAAGGCTCTTAGAAATAAGTTTGAAAAGGACACTAAAAAAAAAAAAAAATAAAGAAATAAAAAAGTTCGAGAAATGCCACAGAGGTAGGTAAACGTATAAAACCAGGAGGTATCTCAACTGAAAACTTTGTTCAGAGGAATCAGCAACACTGGATTGGTAATTAAAAGCAAATTTAATGAAAATAAGAAAAGGAGAACGTGGGAGAATTGAATAATGACAGAGAAAACATGACTTCAAGGGGAAATGCTTGTGAAAGAACATGTAATGCTGTCAACAAACTGCTGAAAAACCACTTGCTTTGCTGAACACCCTGAAGATCTCACTAAGAGCATCTTTGTAACTTCTCTCTAAATTACAAAGAGGAGAATCTTTATTTTGAGTGAAAGTTGAAATCCTCACTTCCCAAAAATCACCTGTATTGGAACCACCACTAAATTAAATATTCACCACCAGCAGCAATGCCTTGTGTTCATCAGGCAACATTTCCTTGGGAATCCACCCAAAATGCACCAGAACTGACCTTCAGAGGGAGGGTGGGAGAGGAGGGAAAGGGGAGAAAGCAGCACTTACAGACTCCACCCAATAAAGAGATTTTTAACTGGAAACTGTAGGTATGAGGCAATTTTGCCAACGATTATCTCCATGAATAATATCAATCAGGTCAAACATGTAGAAGCAACAAGGTAGATGCAGAAGAAAAAAGGAATTTAGACAAAGACAATGAAAGCAAAAGGCCTGCCTCAGGATTCTGGAAAAAAGGAACAAGAAATTAAAGAAAAATTACTGTAGCAGCTCAAGGAAAACACTCAAGTTTGAATGAGCGTTCAAAAAACAAAAAAAAAGAAGCTTCACGGTGAGATGAAAGTAAGAAAATCTAAGGTTTTCTTATGTTGGGCCACATAATTCTTTGACTGAGAAAAAGTAAAACAGCCATTATTGAAAAGATGTAAAAAATGAAGGACATAAGTGACATTCTTACTGTGGTGAAACTGAGAGAGGAATTTCAGAGTTCATGTTCCACGCTGAGATAAATTTAAAAAAAATTAAAACCAGAGGAAAGGGAAACACTTTGGCAGACAAAAGGCTCACCCTTGTCTCTCCCTACAAATGCACGAGATTAAATCCTCCCCCATCACAAAATCTGCGTAGAATTTGCTCAAACTATTAAATGTTAAATATGAGACTGAATGGCAGAGACCAAACAAACAGGAGCAGCTCCTTCATGACTTCCAGGGCTAAGGGGACACAGGTAAACAAACAGCAGGGGAAAAAAAGTTTATTTAGAAAGAAGAAATTGCTACAATTGAGAAAAAATATGGCTGTGAAGCCCTACTTTTAGCTTCTTTTTGAAGATTTGATAGATTAACCTCCACTTTCGGGCCAGAGCTTTTAATTTTTGAAGTCTCCTCAGCAGACACAGCAACTGTAGTTAATTTGAACTTAAATTGATGGATTGGTTTGTGAAATCCTCCCCTCCTGCCTCTCTTCCCAAAATGATCCCAGCACAACTCTCCCAGATGCTCGTTACCTGCAGGAGGTGGGTGTTTGATGACTGTTGGATGAGCAACAACCAGCAGAGATGGAGGTAAATCAGATGCATTTAAGCAAAAAAAAGGAGGATTAAAGCAGCAAGACTCAAAGCTCAGCATTTCAGAATTTCCTGCCTGACAGCTCCCACATCCCCCTTCTATCACTTCTCATGGAAATGTTTCTGTGGCAAAGGAAACACAAAGCCCTGACAGGTTCTAATTCCACACAGGAGCTCAGCAGCATTAAATGCTGGATGTTCTTCCTGGCAGGTTTATTTTTCTAGACAGGAGATTTATTTTATTAGAGACTAATTGCTATTTTGTTTGCAGATTACAAGTGACAATGTATTTAATGTTGAAGGTACATTATTTACAGGTTTGAAATGTTTCTTTCAAACTCCTCCTTGGACAGAGTTTTTGCAGCATCAAATACAGAATCAAATATTTCAGAAAAGTAGTATTTAATGGCTTCTTCTTATGCTGTTCTTTAGAAAACAAAGACAAGTACCAGTGAAAAACTGAGGGGGAAAACAGGTATATTTACAAACAATATTAAAAGCTGAAAGGAAGGAGTCAAGGACCAGGACTAGATGCCAATTTGCTAATTAACAAAGCAATCATTCCTCCCTTTGACTATTCATAAGCAATTATTTTAATTATTGAGGTCAAATTAAAACAATGACATTAAATAATAAGACAATGAGAGTTAAAATATAATGATAATAACAACAACAACGATGCTGCAATGTTATAATCTAGAGCTGTTGGTTATTCTCTCTATCATGAAACTAGATGTCCCCTAAGAAATAATAAAAACAAAATACCTTCTTAGCCAGGAACTGATGCAACTTTGTGTAGAGAGGTTGCATATATACTTGGCATTAAGAAAACCAAAATTTGCTTAAACTTATCCCATTTATTTAATAAATAAAGAGCGTGTAAAGAGTATCTTCCCTTTCTGGATATATGTGTGATCAAATTCTCAACTCTAATCACACAGAAACATGATGGAAAAGCAGCTCTGTCCTACACAGCCCAGTTCCTAAAAACATCATCCAGATGCACCTAAACTCTCAGCAAAACCCTAAAAAACCCCTTACCTGAGGTGTGCCTCCCATGATTCTGGGACATCCTCTGGAAAAGCTCACTGTTGTGCTCGTAATACCTGTTGTAGTCCTCGTGGGCTCGGTCGCTCACCTGCCGCCTCCTCTGGGCCTCGTAAAAGTGATCATAATAATAACACCGGGCTCCGGGGTCTCCGTTTTCCAGCCCGGGACTGGCTTCTGTCAAGAAGGACTGGGAGGAAGAGCCGTATTCCCTCGGGACATCGGCCAGACTCCTGGCCAGATAGGAGGGTGCAGACAGTCTGTTGCTCTCCCGCCTCATTATTTCGTGGGGCGGCCTCTGCACTGGGGTTCGGAGGAAACTCTGGTTCCTGGAAACAATTCCATCTCCTCCGGGGGCGTAGGCAGAGGGCGTGGAGTCAAGAGGGCAGATGTCAGTTCGTCTTGGAATGGTCGGACCGTGACGGATAAAGGAAGGCATCAGGTCTGGTGAAGAGCAGGGGAGAGAAGTCAGAACTCTGCCTGCACTTCCACGTAAAGCCTCCGACCACCAGCCTAAAACTGAGGGAATTCCTGTGTAAAACCCATTTAATGCACGTGCAAACAGACTGGGAATGCTGCAGGGTGTCCTGGTGCAACAGGAACCAGCACACCTTCCACCAGCAACAAACTGGTGCCTACCCAGAGAGGTGGTGGATTCACCATCCCTGGAGGTTTTTAAAAAGAGACTGGACGTGGCCCTTAGTGCCATGATATAGTAATTGGAGTTGGATCAGGGGTTGGACTTGATGATCTTGGAGGTCTCTTACAACCCAACCTATTCTATGATTCTATGACGGTGCAGTTTTGCCAGTTCAAACCAACCCCAAACCCATCAAAAAACACACAAACAAACAAAAAACCCCAAACCACCCACTCTGTGCTGTGGCTCCATCCAGTCAGGGTTTGCAGAAGGGTCAAGAAAATCCCAATATCCTGGCTACTACTTCATTGGGAACACTGTGCTTATGAACTGGGAATAACAAGATGTTAACGCCCACAGGCTCACAGGAATCCAGGGTGGAAACAGGAACAGAATCCACACCATGTCCACTCATCCCAAAATCACCAGGCTCAGCCAGAAAAATGCTGTCACTCTGCACATGCTAAATCCTCAAATTATCATGGAGATATTTCACTTTCTCTCCTTTACAACTTCACTGCCTCCCTCCAGTAGGCAAAACATTCCTCCTCTCCCTGCTTTTACTTTCAATGTGATATAAATTAGTTCCCTCCAGCTAAGTCAACACAAATGACAGCTTTCCTTTAGAATGAGGTTATGCCTATTATTAATTACTTTTTATTAATAAGCTCTTACAGGTAAAATGTAAGTCTTAGGGTAAAAATCTGGTGCACCCCAGAAGGTGTCAGCAGTAAATTTATCGTGATCACTCCACAGCATGTAAGAGCATAAATGTGTAAATTAATGAACACCTCAAACACACTCACAGCTTAATAGAACAAAAATTAGTTGGGTTTTTGTGTTTAAGGACTAAGCCAACGCAACCAAACTACTAAATTATTCTGCCTATTAACTGAGGAACCAGTTGTTCGTGCAGCAAACACTTCCAGAAAAGCTGAGTGCCTGCTCCTGCCAGCAAATCAGTTTTTGCTAGCTGGGAACTCCAACCTAATCCCGCAATTACAGAGTAAATAAACACATTTCAGTCTCGGGTTGCCATCAAAGAACAACAACAAAAAAGAAAACTTAGTGTCTTTTCAGTGGGTATTTGCCAGTGTTCTGTCCAGTCCCAGGAAAACGGGGCTGTGGCATCAGAGCCAGGTGAGCCACGGGAAGCTCCTGCATTCCAGGTGACCTCACCGGGCTGAGTCATGGATAGGACCTGGAGCGTTTTGCTTCCGCAGGGATTTTATGCAACTGCCTGGCAGGACAGTTATCTCATTCCCAAAGCACATCGGGAAAACAACCACTCCGTTCTGGAAAGAGAGAGGTCACAGAATCACGGAATCGCAGACTGGTTTGGGTTGGAAGGGACATTAAAGACCATCCATCGTGTTCCACCCCCTGCCACGGGCAGGGAACACCTTCCACCAGCCCAGGTTGCTCCAAGACCATCCAACCTGGCCTTGTGACCTCTTAATTTACGCAAAAACAAAGCGTGGAGACTCCGAGAACCCCGACCTGCCGAAACTTGAGGAGCTGAGAACTGAGGGAATCACAAACCCCACCGAGCTGGGGCACGATGAGCACCCGACGCGTGTGTAGCGCTCTCTTTGAAAGCGGGGCTCCCTTTATCTTCCCTCCGTCACCTCCCAGGGCTCACAAAGGAATTAAACGCACATATACGGAGAGAAAGAGAGAAATACCCCCCCACACACATACACACACCGGTATGACCCCCCATCCTCCAGGGGGGCCCCCCGAGGCCGCGCCGCTCCAGGCCCCGCTCCGGCCGCACACAAAGGCCTCGGGCTCGTCCCCCCGGACCCTGGGCTGGTGTCCCCCCCCTCCGACACTCACTCCTCAGCAGCGGGCTCGTCTCCTTCTTCACGTACTTCCCCTGCACCTCGCCCGGCTTGGAGAGCTCCGTCCGCGTCTTCTTCCGCGACAGCATCCCACCTCCCGGCGCGCCGCCACCGCCCGCATGCCCGGCGCCGCTCCCCGCTCCGCAGGGCGGGAGGGGGGGGGGGGGTCCGGCCGCCCCCGGGGATCGGGACGGGGCCGCGATGGGGATCGGGGATGGGGATGGGGAGCGGGGCCGGGCCGGGGGGTCGCTGAGGGGACGCGGCGGGCGCGCGGGGGGTTGTGGGAAGGCGGCGGCCACCGCCCTCCGGGCCGGCCCCGGGCAGCGCAGGGGAGGGGGCGCCGCCACAGCGCCCCCGCGCGGCCGGGAGGGCGCGGCCCCTCACGGGGACGGGGAGTCCCGGGACGCCAGGGGATCCCGGAGTCCCCGAATCCCGGAGAGTCCCCGAATCCCGGAGAGTCCCGTAATCTCAAAGTCACGGAGTGACAGAGTCACCGAGCCACAGAACCACCGAGCTTGAAAAAGAGATCGTCCAGTCCAAACCTGTGCCCGATGCCCACCTTGTTCTCCCAGCCCGGAGCACTGAGTGCCACGGCCAGGCCTTCCTGGGGCACCTCCAGGGCTGGGGACTCCAAACCTCCCTGGGCAGCCCCTTCCAATGTCCAATCACTCTTTCTGTAAAGAAATTCCTCCTGATGTCCAGCCTGAACCTCCTTTGGTGTAACTTGAGGCTATTTCCTCTCCTCCTGTCCCTTGTTCCCTGGGAGCAGAGCCCGACCCCCCCCGGCTCCCCCCTCCTGTCAGGGGGTTGCAGAGCCAGAGGGTCCCCCCTGAGCCTCCTTTTCTTCAGGCTGAGCCCCCCCAGCTCCCTCAGCTGCTCCTGCTGCTCCAGATCCTTCCCCAGCTCTGTTTCCTTCCCTGGACACGCTGCAGCCCCTCAATGTCCTTCTTTAATTGAGGGACACAAAACTGGACACAGCACTCGAGGTGTGGCCTCACCAGTGCCCAGCACAGGGGGACAATCACTTCCCTGGTCCTGCTGGCCTCACTATTCCTGGTACAGACCAGGTGCCATTGGCCTTCTTGGTCACCTGGGCACACACCGGCTTATCTTGTCCTTCTCTAGGACAAGAGGCACAGGGCAGAAAGTGATGCCCAGGAAGTTCCACCTGGACACGAGGAAGAACTTTCCTGTGCAGTGACTGAGCACTGAACAGATTGCCCAGAGAGGGTGCGGAATCTCCTCGCTGGGGATATTCCAGAGCCATCTGGACACAATCCTGTGCCGTGTGCTCTGGGATGACCCTGATTGAGCAGGGAGGTGGGACCAGATGATCCGCTGTGGTGCCTCCCAACCTGACCCATCCTGGCATTCTGTGAACCTCCCCTGTCTCAGTTTAATGCCATTTGCTCTTGTCCTCACACTGATCATCAAAAGAGGAAGATTTAGAAGGTTAAAAGGTGCCCGGTTCTGGGCTTCTCAGGACAAGAGATATGGAGCTCCTAGAGTAAGTCCAGTGAAGGAGGACTGTGGAGATGATGAGGGGACTGGAGCACCTCATGTGTGAGGACAGGCTGAGGGAGCTGGGGCAGTTCAGACTCGAGGAGACTGAGGGGGATCTTACCAATGTATGTAAGTGTTTGAAGGGAGGGTGCCAATAAAATGGCATGGAGCTGTGTCAGGAGAGGTTTAGGTTGGATCTCAGGAAAAGGTTCTTCCCCCAGAGGGTGGTTGGGCACTGAACAGGCTCCCCAGGGCAGTGGTCATGGTCCCAAGGCTGCCAGAGCTCCAGGAGGGTTTAGACAACATTCTCAGGGACAAGGTGGGATTGTTGGGGTGTTCTGGGCAGGGCCAGGGGTTGGACTGGATGATCTTAATGGGTCCCTTCCAACTCAAGATATTCTGTGGTTCTAAGAGGATGGACCAGGCTCTGCTCGGTGGCGCTCAGCAATAAGACGAGAGGCAACAGGCAGAAAGTGGAAAACAAGAAGTTCCACTCAAACATGAGGAAGAACTTCTTTCCCGTGTGGTGACCAAGCACTGGCCAGGCTGCCCAGAGAGGGTGTGGAGTCTCCTTCCCTGGAGATATTCAAAACCTGTCTGGACACAATCCCGAGTGACGTGCTCTGGGGGACCCTGCTTGGGTAGGGGGGGTAAGACTAGATGACCTTCAGTGGTCCATTCCAACCTGAACCATTCCATGATTCTGTGAAAGGCTCACAACAAGCACTCAATATTTTCCATATAAAAGTGAAAAACAGGAATGCAATTTCAATTGAGGGCAGGGTGCCCTTGACAGTAAGTCGAGGTGCATTCACTACCTGTCAAGATTTTTACACTTTAATCGATTTCATACTTTCACAATGGAAGAAAATACTTTTCATAGCTGCCAAACTGTCCTTTTTACTATTAAAGCTTTGTCTGATAAATTTGCAGATACTACTTGAAATGCCTGCAAATTCCATGGGAAGAGAAGTGGTAGATGCCCCATCCCTGGAAGTGCTCAAGGCCAGGTTGGACAGGGCTTGGAGCAACCTGGGATAGTGGGAGGTGTCCCTGCCCATGGCAGGGGTTTGGAACTTGATGGTCTTTAGAGGTCCCTTCCAACCCAAATTATTCCATGATTCTATGATTTTCACGCTGGATAAAAGACACAAGCACGGATCATACGTTAATGTATTTTTTTTCATCCATTATAAATAATGTGTAAGTTGGTTCATCTCTCAGTTTTACACGATGTTCTAAGGACAATATATTACATCAGAACAAAACAAACTCGATAGAAAAAAATATATATACATTTGTTTTCATTTGTACAGAAGTCATTCATCATGAAATGACACCAAATGGGAGACTGGACAGGTAAATGATGGAAATCCTGAGAGGCAGGGATGGTATTTGCTGAAAGTAAACAAAAGGGTTTTACTTGATAGATCCAGACTGTCCCCTGCTCTACCTAACTCATAATCTGGCTAAAATCAAATATGTTACAACCCTTCTTTTTTTTTTCCAACCAGAATTCAAATAATTCAATTTTCCTTGTATTTAAGTACTACTTGGAGAATACGCCACAATGTAGACTTTTAAATCATTCTAAACTGACAAGCAGCACTTCAACTGTGTGAATTTAGTACACATATATTTAACTTGGGGACTGTGCCCTTCCAAAACCCCCAACCTGAAATGTCCATGTGCCTTTATTTTTCACAGTGATTCATAAAGCAACAGTTGAAAACACTTAAACCACCTTCTGGTAATAAAGTAGTTCATATGTGACATGGCAAGACCTGTTGTATGAACGAGGCCTAAAAATTCAGTGACTTTTGACTGCTACAACATTAAATACTTTGGTTTTTGCCTATACTGCATAGGAGACACATTCATGCACAAAACACCATTAATGCTTTAATCATTTACACGTTTATATGGTTATTTTCAGTAGCCTGGACTTTGTAAAAAGAGCTGCTTCTCTTCTGAGCTGACACAGTGAGAACGAAGAAGCAACACGACACCCGTAAGCAGCACTGCCTTTCTCTGGGATCCCTCCTTTTGGGAAGGGATTGTCCTGAATTATCCTGGAGCAACGAACCCAGCACAGCAGAGAAAGGCTCTAAAATAATGTGGAATGGCAAAAGGCACTTCTGAGAATTAATTCACACAAATACACCAGTGGAAGTGGAGTTTTGCCTCAAAAATATTCACCAGTAGGAAGTTTTCCTCCTCCTCTCTCCTCTGCTTAGGTTGGTTTTTTTTTTTTTGAATCTAAATGAAATAAAAGCAGAGCAAGGTAGGATAGGGGAGAAAGGGAGAAGCCAAAAGGCCCTTTTCTCTGTTTCTCCCTTCTATTCCAACACATGGGCTCCCTTTTTGGTGCTGTGCTCTTGCAATGTCTGTATTTTTGGCTTGGAAAAGCCTGGTAACTACCAGGAGATTAAAAGAATTAGTTAAGCAGTGGAGCCTTTAAAATTGAGTCATGTGAAATGAATTGCACAACAACTTAAGTGAAATATTCTCTCTTTTCAAATGTTGGTCACAGACAGAAGTAAAGCAAGGTCAAGGTATGAAGTAGTGTTAAAATAATTAGTACTAAGTTAGTGCTAGCTAATAATATTTTCCCAAATAACAGTTCTGGACCTCATTTCTTTTGTTTCCTGGAAGTATTTTGGAGCTTTGCTAATTCCCATAGCATGGGCCTGGTTTTAGGGGTGTGCTCAGTTCCCACTTTGCAAACACACAGAGATTTGTTGTAACTGAGACCACTTGGTGATTAATATTAAAAGAAACAAGATCTCGCTACTTCAGCTTTTTAAAACCTCAGATTTACATCAATTTGCCACGATTCCAATTTGGGAAGATATTTTTGCAGCCTCCGAAAAACCAGTAAATCCTTGGTTTTTGAGATGGCTCGGAGAAATCCCCACTCCAGGCATTTAAAAGCACAGCAGTAAAATGATTTATAAGGACTGTGTGATGCTGCAACGTGATGTTCTCCCATGATTATATTTCTATTTCCAGTATGTTGCCTGCAAAGGAGGAGGAGAAGGTCCATGAACCCTCCAAAATTAGGAAGTAACCCCATAGACACAGAGAGCATCCTCTACAGCCACATGCTAACCAGTACCAAGGAAAACTCCTTTTCCAGAGGTTCCTCCACGGCTTGTAGGCAGTGTTATCCCAGTTTCTGGGGGACTCCTGGCTCATGACAGAATTATCACCTTGCTAGTGGTCTCTGAGACAAAACACCTCTCCCTCTGTGTTCTCAATCATCTATTTAAAGAGGTCCAGTTTCAAGTATTGCCAGCGTGGCCCCTGTCACCAGTTTGATTTACAGTGTTTAGTGGTGTCTTACTGGTCTGGCTTGAAGGTGTTCCCGAAAAATTTGCATTTTCCCAGCCTCCCCCACTGATCCAACAGGAGGGATCCCCTCTCATTCCAAACCTTGATGCTCCTCTGTTGGTTAAGGAGGACTAAGGTAATGCTCACCCAAATACAATTTGGTTTATCCTGCTTTTCCTAACACGTATTTATCTTCCTCTACTGACATTTATATCCACATTTACAACGCTGAAGGAAGTGAATTTAGGCTGTTATTCCCTGAGTTCTTTGTATTCACATTGAATATGCCTCTTCACACAATTAATTACAATTAATCACAGGCTTGAATTCTGTACTAGGATCTACTACAAATCATCCCTCAGGTC